TGCTATGCCACACTACAGGGAATATTTCTGTCTATTTAGTATAGAATGTTGCTTTAGACTTAGAGAAAATATTTTTGTTCAAAGCTTTATTTTAATTTAGGCAAGAAACATGGAATAATGAATTAGATCTGAAATGCCAACACTTTTCATCCTGTCTCTTCTTGGCAAGCATTGAGAAATCATGAAAAAGAAATGTATTATGAGTCAAATAATGGGAAGATAATTTTTGTTGTTTCTTATACACTTGCAAACCATGAGTCAAGAGTGTTGATTTGAGTGCCATTTCTGTTTAACAAGTTTTTAAAATGGGCTTATTTAAAATTTATATTTTAAACTTTTTTTTTTATTTAGAAATTAAAATGTTTTAAAAATTCTATGTTATATCTGTTTAAACCTGTACTATATAATGAACATTCAGCTTCTGGCTGATCCAACAGGTAGCTTCTGGCTATACCCCAGATAATCTTGCATTAACTTAGTCCTGGCACAGTTTCTGATCTCACCGCTTCATAGCTCTTGGTGGTGATCAATTTTCAGGTTTGCTTCTGGTTTTTAACCTTCTGCACCTCTGTCAGGGAAACTATAAATTCTGTATCACAAATAACAATAAATGTTACTGTCTGCAGTTCATGTAAGACAAAGTTCTGTGAGCAAAATACCTTGGGGCAAGTTTTTAATCTACTTACACAGTAGTTTATAGAGACAAGCATGTTCACCTTTGGCTATTCTTGCTGTTTCACAAATAAGAAATGTGTGTGTTAAAAGGAATGTATTTTAAATCTCATTGAATATATCCACACATATTTAATGTGATTTGAAAGAAGCCTGTAGTACCTCTTATCAAAATACAGTGTCTCAAAAAATTGCTTTCTGCAAACTATTTCAGTGTAAACCAAAGTTCATTCAAGGAGATTTTCTGACCTTTCAGGAGCTGCAGTACAGGAATTAACAGGAAATACACACAGACACAATATTACAGGTGCAGAGGATTGGCAGATTGACAGAAGCCAGCCTATCATGGCAATGCCTAGTTTTAATCAAGGTGCCCTGCACAGGAGAGTTGAGTAATATACTTAATCAGCACAGAGGGTAACGTTTTGTCTCAGTGCTCATGTCTTGACTATCTAACCACTGCAAACCACCAGGAGAACTAGTGGTTGAAAAGCCAGCAATGAAAAAGCAGTCCTGTTTCATATAGATCTCCAAAATGAAAGTGTGAGGAATTAAATAAAATGCTGTTTTTAGAAATGTGGTTTAATGTGATACAATATTTACATTTCTTTTGGAGGACTTCAATTATTTTGCATGTAGAAACTTTGTCCTGCTTGTAATAGTAAGTATTTCTTCAAATTATAATATGTGCTGCTCCTTTATACTGTGCTCTCAATGTGTATATATGCAGTAGTGAGTGGGTGATTTGGATCACTTAATCCCCATCAGAAGTACTGGCAAAACAGGGCTCAATATAAATTTGTGAAAGTCATAGAAATCATAGAATGGGTTGGGTTGTGTTGGGAGAGACGTCACCTTGTTCCACCCCCTGCCATGGGCAGGGACAGCTTCCATTAGACCAGATTGCTCAGATCCATCCAGCCTGGCCTAGAAAACTTCCAGGGATGGGGGATCCTCCTCAGCCTCCTGGCCACGCTGCTCGTGCTGCAGCCCAGGACAGAGTTGGCTGCAGACACACATTGTCAGGTCATGGTGTGCTTCTCATCCACCAACCCCCCCAAGTCCTCCTCAGAGCGGCTCTCGCTGCATTTTTTGATTGAAAGCTGTATATGGACAGAAAACCTAAATTGTTAATGTCTTATGTTGCTGGTCACAAACTGCAGTGTGTGCTAAAGTCGGTTCATTTGTTTTTCCCCTTTTTACCTCCTATCAATTCAAGAACAAATTGTGGAAGAGACAGTAAGGGCAAGAAGGTGCTTTGAGCTATCTCAAGGATTAAAGCTTTTGGGTTTTCAGGTAATACAGTTTTAACAGTGCCTTTGGGAAAGAAGATGAAAGGAATTCTACAACTTATGGTAAAACCAAAAAAGAATAAATTACTTCAGGCCAGTTATGAAGAAAAAAGAAATATTGAGAGGCAAAATTGAAAGTGACAGAAGGCAGAGACTATATCAGCTTCTGTAAATCCCTTTGATTTTTTTGGTGGTATCCATAAAATGAAGATGATCTACTTCGGGACATTCTGAAGGCAGGTGTATGGTTGTATCTACATTTAAGAAATGTGAGGGAAAAATGTTCTCAAATAATCTGAGAATACTAATAGTTTTCTAAAAGGTCAAGTTATACTCAAGAGAGAACTACAAGAAACTTCCTTTATAGTGGAAAGATAATGTAACCTGTTAGTGCGTAAGTTTTTTGAGGGTTTTTTTTTTGTTTCAGTATGGAAGAGCACTTTTTCTGTGCTCTCCCTTGCAAGGCATGGAGGGTATTGATATTTCCATTCTGTGCAGATGTGTGTGGTGTATTGGGACTGAAAAGATGCAGACTCACTCTTGATATGCTCTGTATATTTATACCTAAAGTAGTTCCCAGAAATGGAGTAAAAAGAAGAACCTTGTGTGGGTCCATGTGCAGATGACATCTCACATAGTGAGTTGTTACGTAGTTTTAAATCATTGCATCCAGACTGTTTAGCTTTGTAGAATTTGTATAGGACCATGGTAGCATTTACATAGGAAGTCTATGAACATTTCTTCCTTGGAGTCCTTTGTATAGAACATAAGCTTTGACTTCTCCAATTAGTTCTGCTACTACCAAATCATAATAAATCCATGGGCTTTGCTTTTTGTTCATGTGTTAGTTGTTTGTGACTTTTGGAGCTTCATGGCATTAATGCTTCTTGCTGAATTCTAGGAATATTTTATCTTGTTTATATGTTGTTACTAGAAAAGTGAAGAACATATTATTGCAGTTTTAAATCAGCATTAGGATGTCATAGCCCTTCACTATCTGACCTTTCTGTATTTACTTCAGTGTAAGTTTTTGCCCTTGATCATTGGGTTGACTGTGTCTTATACTGTTTCCTTATAGCTTCATACTGCTCCTTCCAGTATGTCACACTGAGCTCTCAGAGCAAATATATTGTTTGGTAACTCTCTTTCTGAGGAAAATTTTAGTGTGGAAATTAGCCATATTTGACTTCATAAATAATGTATATCTAACTTCATCTGCAGTGTTTTATAGTGTAATGTTGGGTCTCCATCAAAATCCACAATGGCCGCTCTTTCAAAGGGCTGCAGATGTGTTTATTTTTACTGCTGCACCTGTGCCAGTGTGAGAAAAGACTGATTTGTGATAAAAAAATGAAGCTCATTGAACATGTTTTTTAATGTCTGTAAATATGGTAATTGATACTTTTGTGCCTCATTTTCTCTGTTGCGGCTTCCAGCATGGTGGTAAACTTTACCTCTGAAGTTGTGGTAACAGAGTACCAGGTGTGTCCCACCCCATCAGTAGAAAGCTTTTTTTGGTATTTAGCTGAAAAGCATTAAGGACAGAGGTTGGATATTCTTCAATTCCTTTTATTAGGATCTTCGTGCTCTGCAAGAGGCAAGGTAGTTTCAAAAGACTTACAAAGGATATGAATTTCCCCCTTTAGCTCCATGTCCAGATTAGGTAGTTCCTTGCCTGGGACATTAAGAAATGAGGCATAAAATAGCAAAATTGGGAAGACAAGTGTGACAGAGAACCTCAGTATTTGATATCATGTGGTGATTGCCACTTTGAAATGCAACTCCTAAACAGAATGTGAGGCATAGACCCACCGAGATGAACAGGAATTCTGAGAGCCTGTTTCATGTCCCTCTTGTCTGCCAGTGACAAGAGGAAGAGGTTACCTTGGAAACACCAATAGAGGTTTCTTCATTAATGAATGCTGATATGGAATAATGCAAAAAATAAACCTGGTGTATGTGACAGCCCTTGTTGTCAGCTGTGATACATGGAAGAATCTGAAGCTGGCAACTAAAGTTTGTAACACAGCTTCTGTCCTTTGTTAATACTGTGGAGGCTATGGGGTTTTGTCCAAAAGCACTAGAAAAAAAAAAAAATATACAGCCATTTTGCATTTAAGGTTGTCAAAAATATTCCTAGCACATGCACTGACAAAAGATAACATCTTGTGAGAACAGTGAAGGGCTGTAAACTGTGAGCATGCATATGGAAAAGAGATGCAACAGAATTTCTTACTAATTTCATATAATACACTCACACTCCTGTTGAGTTATGGCAATGTCAACGCGGAGTATTTAAGGTGGCCACACATCAGGCACACATTTGTTCTTGGCCTCTCACTGTTTATGCCATTCCCTGTATGTTGAGATTTGTCTGCACTGACTGCACCATGTTTTTGTACAGTTAAAGCAATAAAATGATAATTAAATGATGGAATCAGGTTAATGCTTGTTTTGACATATTTTGAGATGAGAAAAAAGGAGTAATTAACACCATGAGTAGTTGATATGGGGGCTGCTGCTTAAATTGTAATTGTTGTTTAAAAACCAAATATTTATATATATCTCAAATTTTATTCACTCTTTTTTCCCCAACTTGTAGGCACTCATGATATTTGATATTCATAAATACTTCTCTGTTTAAGATACCCATATCCCCATCAAAAGAATTTAAATTGTTTCAAGACTACATCTGTTTATAATAAAACATTTTTCAAATCTTACTTTTTAGTAATGCTTGGTAATAAAACCCATTAAATTTTCGGAGTGTGTGATAGAAGTGGGAGATAAATGGAGTATTTTGAAATGGCTGGAGGAAAACATATAATAGCCGTGTCTAGTTTTGATTAAGCTTTCACTTACAGTGCAAGACCAAGAATGCTGTCAGATTAAGTACCCTACTCTCTTTAAAATACATGAAATGTTGTCATCCATATAATTGTGTGACAGGCTGGAAGTTCTTGAACATCTAAATTGTATTTTTTCCTTGTTTGCCTCTTGAAGTGAGTAATAATAGGGTGCTTGGGTTTTTTCCAGATAACCTTTTTCATGCTGCTCTCTGCAGTGTGTGTGATGCTGAACTTGGCCGGGTCCATTCTCTCCTGTCAGAATGCTCAGCTGGTGAAGTCCCTGGAAGGATGTCAGTTGGTGAGTGATGGAAAACGCTTTGTTTCTTACCAAGGGCAAGGATTCTGGTTTTCATCTGTTAGAGTTCTATACACACACTCCTTTAATTTCCAAAACAGTAGGTATTTAGTAGAGCAATCTGTGTGTTACAGCCTAAAAAAACATTTTGGGAAAAGTTTAAGTGTGAATGGATTTAATGTTTTAAAAACCTCAAAAAAAAATTTTTAATACCATAAGGATTGACTTTTTACTGTCCGGGTAAAAATGATGCTTCAGCAGAACAGGTGGAATTCAGGCCACATCAGAGCAGTGTGGTGGTTACCATTTGATGTCAGCAGGATCAGGATTCCTTCCATCCAATGCTTGTCCAGGCAGTGGATTTCACAATAGGAATATTTTAGTACGTGTATGCTAATATTTTGATTGCCAACCTGAGTTGTTTTTCTTCTTCATTTACAAAGTAAATGAATGTTACTTGTGTTAAATAAAATACAGAACAATACAAATTATCATCATGCAGCATGCTCTAAATTATAAAGTACAATTTACCTAAAGCCCTTGTGGTTTTATTTCATGGAAAAAAGTACATACAAATTGAATTCCAGCATATTTTCTGACTTCAACTTGCAAAGATGTCTGCAGAAGTCAACTCATGACTGAAATATTGAGTTTGAATAATAAGTGTTCAAACTGTAGTTTGGATTTTTAGAGCATGATGAAATGCTAAGTAGCTTTGTCACAGTGTGTTGTACTCTATAAGGGCAAGTTAATTTCATTGTGGCTGTTTATCACATTGTAACTGTTAAAGAGAGAAAAAAAAAAAAAAAAAAAAAAAAGCAACAGTTTTATTCTACCCAGACCTCACTCTTTAGGTTTTCCGTGCTCAAAACCCCATTTCAGTCAGGCTGGGGACTGCCACATGGATATATTGCATTGCCATGTTGCAGGGCTCATGTATGAAATTCTAGAGTTCTGTTCTCATAGACCACCCTCTGGGAGGGATGCACTGTAGTGAACAGCACTGCTTTATGATTAAGCACAGGATTTGACTCAGAAGGTGGTGGTGTATTATGCTGAGCATATTTAATTACTTTATTACCATTTTTCTCTAAAAAAGGAAAAATCCTAGTTTCATAGCAGCTTGTTCCAAGTGTATATTTAATTTTAATTCCTTAGATGGCTCTCTTTAGTGCTGTAGAGCTGTGTAATCCTGCACTATGTGACTGGTGTACATTATCAAATCTAAATCCTTTACTTGCCTCCTAGGATACAAATGTACTCTCTGGGGATGCAGCTCTAGGAGTCAAAATCCAGCCTTTGCAGACGTGTAGTTTGAAATGTAGTTAACATCCCATGTAACTGAAACAGTAAATTTCCAAGCACAGTATACTGAAAAAGTCAAATTCAAAATAAATTCTGTTTTAGTTCTGGTCTTTCTGTCAACCTCATTCATGGTGAGTGCATGTTTAAAAGTGATAATACGATCTACTGTATTATGGAGTTTAAATTCAGCAGGGTTTCACATGTAGTGTTTTTATTTGAAGAAAAAAGCAAGACAGTGGTCTTATTTTGCTTTAAACTCTGGGGATTTGTTGTAGATTCCATAATATGTACTTTACTGTGAATATGAGAAATGTGCTTGCCATATGTTAGCATTTTGAATGTGTAATTTGTGAAGTTGGTATTTGTGCCCTTTATCCTGCAGCTTAGCAACATACAACACTGAGGGGGGAAAAAGGGCAGTAGCTTTAACGCCTTGTTATGAAAAATTAATTGGAATTTTTTTTCCCCATAATTACCAGCAGATCCTGTAGCCAAAACCTCAAGATACTGCTTTAAATCAGTGAGAGTCAGATGTGTACAGAGAAGTTACACACTCAGGCTGTTCATTAATGTGTATAGGAGAAACATTTCTGTATAGGAATTTCTTTTCCAAATAATGGTTCTCTAAAAAATGGTTCTCCTAAAATGTATGGGTAGGGTAATTAATATATTTTAATTTATGTTCTGTTACTACACAAGACAGAATATGTTTTATTTCTTCATCTATGTTTGTTTTAATTGTGTTTACCTGTCTTGTAAGCCATTTATTCACTTAAAAAGAAATGCTGTAGTTTTAATCAAATTTACGGGTGATTATTATTCAGAAAAGTAGTGAAGGTGTCAATCTCTCTATTGAAAGATTACTTTTTTTTTTGGTTGTACAGCTGAAATTAGCCAGTGGATACAGCAACACATAAAGGAAGAGTCATCTTTCCCCTGAATTATCTTTAGCTGGAATAGACAAAGCAAGGAAAAGTGAAGCAGGTGCAGGTTCACAAAGAGCTGAATGGCAGAGCCCAGGTCCAGAACTGAGGTTTATTTGTATTCCATTTTGCACTGGAGCCAAACCCAGGTCTGTGCATATCGAAAAACAATTTTTAAAATTCCAGGAAAAAGAATATACTCTGTTTTGTTCTTAGTCATCTGTCAGTTTTTAATCTTTATATTTCCCTACAATGCAGCTGTAACCTTACTGGGTCCTCCCGTCATTCGCTTTGCATAAGGTACTAGAATTGACTGAAGTTCCTTCCCCTAAGTACACCAATGGAACTTTCTTGTATTTCATTGCCTTGTTATCAACTTTGGAACTCTGATACTTCATTTTGAAATTTTTCCTTCCCTTTTTTTATGTTCCCTATAAAAAACCCTGAAGGTTAATTTAGGAGTAGTAGTAAAATCTATTACTACTTTTACTAGAAGACTTGCATTTGTATTAAGAAGGTGGTAGAATGCAAACAGTGTTAACTAACTCCTAATTTGCCCTGTTAGGGGAGAGTGTCTGTGCACTTAGCAGCCAAACAAGCAAACAAGCTTCTTTCCAGCAGTGTTGACAGATTTTGATTAATTGACACAGATGAAAAAAATAGCATAAAGCCTGTGAGAGTATGTGCATGTATTTGTAATAAATTTGGAAGATCCTTTCATTTTTTGATTTTCTGCTGTATAAAAGTCAAGTTTTAATGGTTTTATAACTTTTGATGTAACAGTAGTGCTTTTTGACAAAACAAAAACTTACAAGGCAATTTATGCATGCAGGCAGCTCTGGCTGATGTTTGAAATCTTAAATATGGTTTGGATGAGGGTGTACTGTGCAACTGTCATAAATATGAAAGCACACAAACTCTACTGTGAGTACTGACTAGCATGAGTAAGAATCACGAAGTGGGACACAAATATGCACAGGATGGTGGGGGTATGTGCAGGGGATGAAGTGAATGATGCTTTATTCTTGAGCTCTGCCAGCCAAAAAGAGATTGAAGCACAGACAGTTTTGGAGGCACTGCTGGTGTAGTTGTGTCTGAGGTTGGCAAAAACCAGCCCAGCAGCTGCAAGGAGTGATCCCAACCCTTTCTCCCTGTACCAATGCAGATTTATTGGCAGTGCTACTGTCTCTGTTTATGGAGTCACACAGTGAATGGCCCTTGAGATGTGATTTGGGCTAACAATAAACCACTTCTCCTCCTTCCTTCCCAAAAAAAAAAAAAAAGTTAATTTTGGCACTGTTTAGGTGACAGAATAGCTGTATGAACTCTTGATCCTGTCTGCGCAAGTGTGAGACCGCAGCAGGGCAGGGAAGGGCAATCTGGAGCAGGGGCTCAGGAGTGCTTTCAGCTGCTGCATCACTGAGAACACAAATGCAGTGACACCTACTGCCTTTGGTCCTGCTCCCCTTGCAGGAACACATCTCAGCAAACAGGTCACTTCACAAACATGGAAGGAAAAGGTACACAGCAAGGCAAATTGATAAAAATTCTCCAAAAATAATATGCTTCCAATCTGGCAGTGAATCTGGGCTGGTTTTGAATATGCTGTGATTCTTAAGGTGGCCCTGTGTTTTGGAAGAACTGTCATGTAAACAATTAGATTTTAGCTCAGTTTAAGTATTACATTAAAACAAAAACTGCTGCACAGTACAAAGTTACGGAACAACTTTCAGAATGAATTGAGAATCTCTCATAAATGGGGAATCTTAACCCAACCTTTTGAGCCTTATCTTTGTGACACCTGTTCATTATATGTGATACAGATGGCCCTGGGATCTGTATTTCACATTCGAAATGCCAGATGCATAACATGAGTCAGTGCCTGTCCTTTATTAAACAGGGGCAGCAAGAATCAGAATAGACAATCTTGCAGTAGAAAGCTTTGTCTGAAGTCCATTTTTCTCATTACAAAAACTTATTAACAGCTGAAGCCTATATTGATTTACCAGGTGTAGCCTTCTGGCCCGTGGCCTTGGCACACCTCTAAATTCAAAGCGTGAGTTCCAAAATTCCTCAGCAGCATTTCTCAACCCCTGAACCATTTCCAGAGAGTTCTGGGAGCAAGACCTCCCCAGTGACATCCAGTATTTGATTTTTACATCAGCTTGAAGAGCTGAGGTCAGCTGATCATAAACCATTTAGTTGGGTTTTGCTCAGATATTTCACCTTTTAAAAGTATTAAAAGATTACAGGAATTGGAAAAGAACTAGTCTGAAGTTCAAGTTGCTTTGTAGTTAAATTGTATGCTAATGAGAAATAAACCCCACAACTATCATAGAGGTGAGCAAACAATGTTTTTTCTTTGTTTCTTTGCAGTGTCTATGGCATGGGGTATGACCAGTTTCTGTGAGTTGCCACAGACAATTATTTCCAGTGTTGCCTTGGAGAATATGGGAAATGGTGTAATTTACATACCCAGTTTTTTCTAAAGCCTTTTACAAATTGTGCTGGCCAGAGGGCAATCTGGAGTCTCAGGAGCTGCAGTCTCCTGAGATAGCTCTTGCCCTGAGTATGCTTTCATCACAGTAAGCAAGCGTTCAGTCATCTGTACCTCATCTGGAGAAGTTTATTATGTTCTTTTAATTGACTCTTATTTGTGCTCTTCCATCTGCTGCCTGGTCACCAGCGTGTAAGGAGAGAGTGAGAGAGTGCTACATGAGCCTGATAGGGGTAGCACTAAAAAACTACATATATTTAAACATATAACTTTTAAGATCATATGAACAATTTAGACATTCTTTGAGGTACAAGAAGTAAGTAAATATTCTGTTGAAATTAATGTATAAGGCTGTGCAAGGTAATTCCACAAGGAGTGCTGATACCTGTTTTTGTTCAGGAAATTGGCAACATCCTGGAGAGGATTTGCTTTAAAAATATCAAATCTGTATTTGGATTAGGAATTTCTTTGTGGATTTGTGTCTGGAAATTTTGGTGGGTTTTTTTTGTTGTTGTTTTTTTTTTGTTTTTTTTTTTTTTTTTTTTTTAATGCAAAAGAATAAGTAACAGGGTGATTCAGATCTCCCCACCCAGCCACAGTGCTTCCATCTTTACTTTGGGGAATAAAGGACTGATTTGTGATCATGACTCCTTCACATATTTTCTGGGCTCTTTGTGTTATTTTTGGTTTTCCCACGTTGAATATGATTTTGTGTTTATTCAGTTGAGTTAGTCTGGTTTCACCTGCCCCTGCAAAGCAAATTTTTTTCAAAAGGCAGCATAAAGACAACACCTTTGATATTGAATCCTCTTACTGTATTTTACCTGGTTTTATAGCTTATATTAGCCATTGGAAAACATTCTGCTCCTAATGTTCTGCACAGAGATTTTAATTTTGCCTTTAGTAGTCATTATTGTAACTGTAAATACTATTTTTGGGAAGTGTGTTTCTGTTGATTTATACTTTTTCTGACCTTTTCTTTTCTCCACAGATTAAATTCGACAGTGATGGTGTCTGTGTTTGCTGTGAAATGCAGCATCAGACATCAGGCTGCAGTAACTTGGGAGAAACACTGAAACTGAACCCTCTGCAGGAGTGCAATGCAGTGAGGCTGACCCTCAAGGTGTGTTAGGAGAGAATTAACTGTTTATTGCAGTTTTAACTTAGCAAGACAAAGTATGTGATGAAGGGAGCAGCAGCTGCTGTTCTCTGTCTTTGGCCACCCTTACGTGCAAAAAACTTCTCCATCTCAATATCAGCATTTGTGTGGGTAACTGTTTTGTTAAAGTTTACTCAAGAAACAGAAGTTCAGACTGGCTGTGATTTATGCTGGAAGGTGCAAGAACAGGTATTTTTCACTTCGCTGTTGGAGGTGGTGTTTGTTGATGTTATGGTGAGCTGCAAAGAAACACAAAGCTCTGCAGAATGATGAGGTATTTCCTGATGAGCTGCTGCTACTTTGGGAGGGAAGAGTCAGTGTTCTTTCTGGGTGATGCTGGAAACCTGCTTATAAACTGCCCTGCAACATTGTGAGAAGTTTAAATCTTGTAGCATTTTGTGTTACAGCTACCCAAATGAAAAATTGAGAGCAAATACTAAGAATGTTGTATAAGTGAGTTAGAGCACAGTGTAATTGCTGCCATCATTGCTTCACTTCATTATCACCAAATGGGAAGGCATGGATGCTATGTTGTTTTGAAAAATGATAAGGAATCGATGAGAGAACTGCTCAAAAAAAGGAACCCTAGGCTGAGAGGCAGATATTGATTCATTCTAGTTTTAGTTGCATGATCAGCAGAACTCTGTATTGTTGACTCTCAATTTCAAAATATGTACTTTAATAAAACTAATAGAAAATAATGGAGTAAAGTAGAGAAATTCATTGTGAGAAGGATCTTAGGGAGGTAGATTTTCTCAGGGGGGTCCTGAGAAAGCTATAAAAGTTTTATTCATATTTGAAGATATATTTTAAAATTCTGTCTGGGTAGAAATGCTATACAAGGTATGTAGTAAATACCTAAATGTTCTTCAGTCTTGCTAAGAAAAAGCAAAAAAAAAAAAGAAAAAAGCTACCACCAAGTAATATGGATGAGGTAGAAGTTAAATGATGGCCCCAAAGTTGAGTAAGAACTCTGCCTCAGGTTTTAATGAGCATCATAAAGGTAACAGAGCAAAAACCTACTGGGCAGCAGGAGTTTAATAAGTGGAAAAGAAGCATAACTTGACATTGTTGGTCAAAACATAACAATATTCAGTGAAATGTATTACAAGAAGGTAAATTCTGATTCTGAGAAGCACAGTCCTCAAAGTATGACAGATGCAGAAACATGAACCTGTCATTCAGGAAAAGCTGACTTGATAATCCCATTAAAATAAAAACTGAGGGTGCATATGTTTGCTTCCTGTAAATATGTCAGCAAGGTAAACTTTAATGAGAGGGAAAACAACTGTTTATCTTTAGAGGACCTTGTCAGCATATGGAGTGAGTAGAAGTGACATACGCTGAAAATCAAGACAAGTATTCTAACCAATACAGCAATCAGAATACAAGCACAAAATTTAATTTATTCTAAGATATAACTCAATCATTTATAAAGGGAATTTACATATCAGTTTACACTACAAGAAAATGGGTTTCAACACAGGAGTTCCCCTGAGTATAATCTGAGTGCAATTTTAATTATGTTCAGAATTTTTAATCTAAGAAAGAGTAGTTAGGAAAATAACTTTTTCAGAAAGATTTTTACATATTTTTTCAGTTTTAATTCTACATTTGCTTTCTGTTTGGCTTAGCTCTGATTCCTGGCTGTAAATTTAAGAACATCATTCTACTAAGCCCACAAGAAAAAAAGTTACAGCTCATTAGGTAAGAGCTGACAGTGATAAGGCTCACCCTCTTTAATTACAATTAACAACTACAATGTGATTTTAAAGAAACAGGTGTTTTAGTACCAAAAGCTCAATTGTATTCATTGAGGAGCCAGAGGGAGAGGAAATGTAGAGAACCAGAGTTAAGATTATACATTTCATGTATAACATTATGTAGGTTCCACATTCCTCTTTATTGCAGGTAGGGTAAAAATCTCATGTTTCCTCTAAGTCATCTCTGGGGTTTTGGTGATAGCAGCTGTGGAGCTCCACTGTGAACAGAACAATCCAGCACATCTTACCTGTCTGATCTTGTTCCCAGGCAGTCAAACAGGACAAGGAAAACCAGCAGTGGCTCCTGGTCCTGTGTATGTTAACTGAGCTTTGCACGATATTTAGTGGGGGGTTTATAATTGCTTTGAAAAATCTCTAAAATTTGTTGCTGTTTTTGCAATGAACCATCTCTGTGTGCTTTTTTGTAAATCAATCTCCTTCTTTCTTCATTTCAAGCCCTGAATAAACTACTCAAACCTTTTAATAGAGACAGAGGAGCTACCACTGCAGTATGTGTGGTCCCATATATGCACATGTATAGATACAAGTATTGATTGCAAATGCTGACTGATCTATAAGTGCTGGTTTCTGAGATTAGTTGAATAGTGGGATTTCAGCACAGAATTATATGTTACAGCAAAATGGACAAACATACTGTGCCATTTCACTGTTGTAATGGGGTCTCAGTCTACTCAAGGGTGTTGAATTGGTAGGGTTAGAATTAATTTTATGGTACTATACTTGTAGTCTTGTCTGCCTGCCTCAGTAAAAATAGCACAGCTGTATGATGTGATGAACTGCCGTTAAGATCTGCAGGCACCCAAGTGTGATCCATCTACCCTGTTTTACAATGGAGACTCCCTGGTTTCTGTATTTCACTAGGAGACGTGGGGTTTTTTTACAGTTTCCTACATTAGTAGCTCCTAAACTGCCCCTGAAAATAAGGTTCTTTGCTTTCCTCTGGATAATCAGCAATCTGTGCTTCTAAAAGATGTCAGTGTCCTATTATCTTGACTTTTTTTTTACAGTAACCATACTTCTATAACAGCTTTATCCTATATTAAGAAGTTACTTGGTTTAATTAAAGCCAAATGAAGGCACCAACAAATCCTACCTATTTACAAAATTAGTTAAAAGAGTTTAAAAGGTTTATTAAGAATCAGGTGTCCAAAAATGAGATGATGGCCACAGATGGGGTGGATTTAGGATGCAGTTTCAGTAACATCAACTTAATCTGTTTTTCTGCAGGAAGTGGATGAAATTTTAAGGATCTGAGTTTTTATTGTCATGTTAATGAAAGTAAAATGGCTAAATTTTCCTGGCATCTTTCATCTGTGAAAATTTTGTCTTCTTCCTAAACTCGGAGTATTTTGAACTTAAGATACATGTGACATTTTCAGAGGATGAAATTAGGTATTTAGAAGTCTGAATTATTTTGTAATATATTATTGCTTTCTAATACTGACATGCAAGAGGGGAATGTTACGCTGTTTTGGTTTAGTAATGATCCAGTTGAGTATTTTAAATTACTTTTAACAGCTTACACAGTCCAGAATACCTGCAGACATGTATGTGAATTTATAGATTTGCTATTTACATAATTGCTTCCTACCTAAGGTGCATCTGTAGAATGCTTTTGTGACTATCGGGCAAGGAGAGAAGCTGATTCCCTCCTCTGTCTTCAGCATAAATATTTGGTTTGGAGCTGCTAAAGTTCAAGTACAATATAAATAGTAAGTGGCTCTTTCAGGTTTCTGATTGCATTCATTAGTTAGGCATCTCTATTAAAGATTTATGTAGCTCAGGGCTCTTGAAGTCTTCTGTGTGAATACTTTCTTTCCTTTCCTCTCCTTTGAATCTCAATTTATTGTTACTGAGTTTCCTGATGGCCAGGTCTGATCATATATGGAAATTTTTTTTCATTCAGAAGAAGATGCTTCCACTTGCAAAACAGAGGAGGATGGCTCCTAGCACATTCTTTAGAGTTATGAGAACAGTCTTTCCTCGGGTTTACTGTAAGATCAAATGCAATAGTATTAATTTTACTGAATGACTTACGTGAAAGGCTTCATAAGCTACTTAAAATTGGATAAAGCTCAGCACAGAATAAGTAATTCTAGATCAGGTTTTTAAATGCTGGATTTGTTTCACATTCCTTTACAGGCAGCTGAAAAGATTCCCTACATTCAGAGTGTATTTACCACACCAAGACCATCAAAAATAGGGTGGATCAGGGTGGGCTTTTTTGTCTGAATAGCTAAGCTACTTTTCCTTCCTCATACCTCTTTCTGTTAATTGCTTGGACAATAAGTGCATATGGTTGTAAACTTCTCTCACAGCTGAAAAGGTGCCTCTTTGAATGATTGGAATCTGTTTATTCCATGTTTGTCCAGTTATGTTATGAAATCTTAGCCTTTCAGGAGTCTCTAACTATCATATCCCCAGTACTAAATTTAATGCAGCACCTGAGTTGAAGGTATGCAAACTTGAGTGCAAGCAGAGAAGACCCTTTTCAGTTTATTTTTAAGTAGCAGTGCACTGTGCACTGCTTTTTAAAAATGTGATAAAATAGTGAATTACACTGTACTTTCAAACCTTAAATCTAGTATGTGAAGTGTTGATTATCTCTCCACTTACAATGCAATGTGTAGTTGAGACCCATTTGACTCAGAATTAATTCTTGAGCCTTCCTTGTATTAGAGCAGAAATTTTTCCCAGTGTTTTTCTAGACGTATCCAGTGGGAACAACTAAAGTTATATTTGGAGCTAAAAGGATTGTTGTCCTTGAATTCTTGAATAAAAGAAGTACATTGACACTAATTTCATGGGTGAAAAAGCTTTGCTGCTCATTATCTCTTTTCAGGATACAGTAGGATAAGAAATGAAGCACTATAATTGAAGTCAATCAAGGAGAAAAGAAATCATCTCCACAGCACTGCAGCCATGGAGCCGCTTTTAGCCATCGATTGCTGGGGATGCTGAGATCCATGTGCTCAGGGCTGCTGCTCACAGAGTGTTCCTTTTACACATCAACAAGCTGATTTTGCTTCTTTCATTGTATATTGGCTAAGGTCTCAAAAGTGTCAAGAACCTCAAAGACTACAAATCTTTTATTTCCACAGGAAAATAATCTATTCAGCCAGCAAAATGTGAGTGTGTTGTAGAGAGAGCTGTCAGCTCAATACTGTTGAGCAGACTGGAACTCATAAAATGAAATGGATGTACTTTGTGTCTTTCTAGAGCAAAACAGATTTAAATACAGTTTCTCAATTCTATGTAAGCAGCACAGCTTATTAATTTTCTATATATTACTTGGCAGAGTGAATATTTTGAGGTAATCATGCTTCATCTGTGCGGTGTGGTTTGTACTGAGCGACAAATTCTGTGCTTTGATGTTCATGTGCGTAACTTAATTTTCAGTACAGTTTATTGCTATGATAGGAAGAAGCAAGAGAGTGACTAAATATTTACCAAAGTCTGCATTTGAGTTGAATTTTGAAGATGTCCAGATATTCCTGGTTTAGCCTGGCTTACTTGATGGTTTTGAAAGATAACTGATACTAGAGACAAATGCAGTTATAAATTGGTTTCTAAGCTGAAGAAGCTTTGTGGGTGTGGCCCACCATTAGAGTGAAGTTTTGCTATTCCAGTTTTGCTTTGTGTTTGCTGTGAGAGGAGGTACAAATGATGTTCTGAAGGACATAATTTCAGGAGGGTGAACACACGTGCAGTGAGTGTTCATTGGTTATAAAGGACCAGCTCTGCCAGTGCACCCATCACTGGCTGATGGGATTTGTGCCATTGACATTTTTCATTTTAGATTCTATCTCATCTCTTTGCTTCTGTCAGGTAATTGCATGTGCTAACAGCTGTTCTAAATTGCTTTGTTAAATTATTGTTTCTACAGTTGAGTTATCGATGTGGCAATCACCAATTTTTTTACTTATTCCAGTTTGATGCCATCTGACTGCTTTATCACCCAGCAGTGTGATGGAAAACAAAGAAAATCAGTTAACAGGACAAATTGCTTTTTGAGCTTATTGCAGTATGAGTTTTTAATACGATATTCTCAATTAGTTCTATCTTAAAATTTTTTGAATACAGAATATTAAAATATTGCAATTAAACATTCAGATTTTAAATAATACTCAGGTTTTGTAATACATTTCCTATTTTAATTTGTTCTGTAGGATTGTGGACTACATGTTTACAGAACATGTATTTTTATACATTCATGTATTATTTTAATTGTGCTAGTAAAGGAAGAACTGAGGAGCAGTAGCACAAAAACACTGTCAAAAGAATAATAGTGAAAACAGCTTGAATTAGGAAAAGGAAAAAATACCTGTTCTGTTCCTAAGTTAGATATATGGGAAATGACAGTATGAAGAAGATTTGGGAATGCACAGGTATCCTTTGGGAACACAGGACAAGTCAAAGGTGTCTGTTATTATGGAGGGAAAGCATGATAAACAATTATGCAGGTGCTGGCACCATTAATTTGGTAATTGTTCAAGTTGAAGTATAAATGGAATACTGCAACCATGAAACCTTGTTTTTTTCACTGTCAGTACTAAATTTTAGTTCCGCTTTTAAGATTTAGTGAGGGACCTACTTGGAAAAATAAGTGGCCACAGAGAAAGAGCTCACAATGCTGTCTGACTGCTGTGCATGTATCTCTGGACTGATCTAGGCATGGTTCCTGGCAATTCTGACAGCTGATTCCACTCTGAAGGGAATTTGTGTCCTCTGCAGCTAGTGTGCTAAGGTGTATGAAGAAAATTGTATATATAACCTATAGAAGAATAATTCTCCCTAGTACACTATACTTATCAGAACATTAATTATCATATAAACATGCTGAAGAATCAGAGTTTTGTCTTAAAAAAACAAAGACAGCATCTAAGAGAAAATCGTTTCAGCCATTTCTGAAGAGCAGAGAAGTGTATTTCAAACCATTAGAGATTCACATGCTGTGTGTTCTGATTAGTGTTCTGGTAGATGTCAGCTAAAGATCTGTTACTAAAGCTCCCTGATTTTGTATTTAGTACAGATTTCCTGCTCCTTTAGGCACCTATAAATGTGGCTGGCTCTGGCTGGGGCTGTGGGGAGTTATGATTGGCCCTGTTGTGGTTACTGCTTTTTCAGACATTTCCTAAAGGACATCTTAATTGTCATTGTTTGTTCCAGCTGCTGTCTGTAAGCACCTACCCTGTCCTTCTGGCAGTGTGCTTGGCCGTGGAGGGCTTTAGTGCTGCTCACTTTTTATCTATAGCTGAATAAATGAGTGTCATGGATTACCTAATTATTTTTTTTACAGGGCACAGGGAGTGAATGGTTAATTGCCTGAGGCTGATTAATGTTTGGGGAGGGTGGGGGAGTGGGGAGCAGAGGAGGAGGGTGGGTTGTGGCTTGATTCCTGTTTGAGTTGAAACAGGCTTTAGGATAAAAAAGCCAAAACAAATAAAGAAGCAGTCTTGATTTAAGAAACATCTAGTGGTGGTGAGGCCTCCACAATCATTGCTCAATTATTACTGTCTCTGTTAATACTTTAGACTTGCAATGTTTTACATGTCTGCTCCTTATTGATCTTTATGAAATACATAAAAACTCTGCATCCCTGCATTTGGAATTTTCTAGTTGTACCTTCACCTTCAAAGATATTGTAGCAGGAAGAGGAACTGTGTGCTTAGCCTGGAAAGGAGTGTGTGGAAAGAGGCTGCTGTTCCTGTGGGCAGTAATCCCTGCCCTACATCAAAAGCATAATGCTGAGTAACAAACGGAGCACAGCTGTCCCAGTGTGCCAAGGATGAGTGTAGCCTGCAAGGCACAAGAAATAATCCTCACACTGGAGTCAGTGTTTGCAAGACCTTCAGCTGTGCCTAGTTTAGGATTCTGCATTTAAGGAAAAATGTGGGCCCAGCTGAGGTGAAACAAATCAGATTAATGGAAACGATTGGAGGCCTAGAAAGTTGATTTCAGTCGAGAATTGGAGAAAATGGTGTTAATATGTCATGCAGTAAAGGTGGAAAAGGCTTCAGGAGTGGTAATAGAGTTCAAAGGTATAAAAGTCTGCTGTGTAACAGCCTGTTCTCAAGAGCTATGGAAGAAAAGGAGCCATGGGTTTCATTTGTGGGATGGACATAACCAGGGCACTGATGGTAAAAATAAACACTGCAATAGTGGAATGAAGCTGTGGGGTCTTTAGGAACAGATAAGAGAAACATCTGTCATGAGACTTAAAGGCACAGTTAAGTCTGTCCTAGCACATATAAAGTTGTTTAAGAGTCTTGGAGATACTTTGTATCCTAATTTAGAAATTTAATTTTATTATTTAGCATAAATGGTATTAAGTTATGCACTCAGATTGGATAAGTTTTTTGTATTTAAATGGCTGTAGTAGGCAGTGGATGATGTTTCTTCCTACTAGGAAATTGTCCTATTTTCTACCTTAGATATTGTCTCTGCCTCAGTGTTCTTTACCCAGGTTTGCATATGGAAAGCAGAGCATGAAGGATCTCAGTCTGCTTTTTTGGCCACTGTTATCTAAGTGGGTCTCCAGGGATCAGTTTTCCTGTTTACCTCCATTTGAATGCTCTAGGTGGGTCTGTGTGACTTTGAGTGCATCACCTTCTGTAAGTGACTTTAGTGGCCCTTCCAGTATTTTGCTGTTAGTGCTGATGATTCCTTATTCCCCTGGCTGAGGGGCTGGCCAAGCAGACAGAAAACTACTGACCAGATCAGCAAGAGCAAATCTGGCTCAGTGTAAGTTACTAAATGACTAAAACTTGTTGGCCCATTTAATGTCTGCCTGGTTCCCATGGCTGGCATTTCCATCTTCAAATGAAGGCCACTTGAGGAACAAGCAATTACAGTGTCAGGAGTAAATCTGCACCTTTCTATACTTTGTTTCAGAACTGTTGGGGAAAACAAAGCAATTTATAGCATAGGAGTTATTTCATGCACTGGCAGTGAATGAAGTACTCCTTTAAAATTAGATCCTGTGGAATGTTCTATACAGAGTGAGTGTTTTTTACTCATGGTATTGTAGCAATTTTAAATTCGCTTTTCATTTGTTCTCACTGCTTTTTCTCAAATGCTTTTACTGGCTATTCAGAGAACTGATCCACACAGCAGCCACAGCAGCCATGCAGTTTCTGCACAAGGATTGTAGTAGTTTTGAAATGTTGCCAACACATTAAATTCTTTTGATGTCTTTTCATTGGCTGTGGAGACAGTAAATGCAAATCCAGTGATTGGGAGAGAGATGCTTTATTTTTAGTGATACCATTGCTATAAAAATCTTCCATTTTAATTTAAATGTTTGTTTTTCTTTATTCTCCTTGTTAAACCAATATTCTGTGCTCTATTTTAAGCTTCTTTTTCTTCAAAAAAAGCAAGCCAACAGTATGACCATAAGTACTCAATCCATCAGTAGAAGGTGAAGTATCTAGGTGTGTAATCACTGCTTTTCTCTCATATAAAAATATTTCAGATGCATCAAGTTTCTGACACAGGATAAGTCTCTATTTCATACTAGAATTTTTTTTAACACACAACCCTACATTGCAGATTTCAACTACTCAAAGCAATAATATTTCTGCATGTTGTTTTTAATCAGAGGTGTCTTCCATAGGATCTTTCTTGTGATAGCTGCAGCTTGGAATCGACCATGAAAGAGTAATTTGTCTTTTTTGGGGAAAAAGAAAATTTGAATATCAATATTTCTGAGGAAATATCTAATAGTGTTGTGAGAACTGGGAAAGGGAAGATGTTTGTTTCTGTAATTGCTGCCTTTGTGGATTGCTACCTGAAAAAGATTACAAGCTAAATGTGTTTTACGCAGTTATTTGGAACCATATTAATCAATAGCAGCTGAGTGTGTTTGTTATCAAATTCCTCAAGCATTTCCTGTCCTTGTGTCCCTGAGATAAGAGATGATATTCTGCTGATGTCTCTCCGCAGGACCTGTTGTTCAGTGTGTGCGCTCTCAATATCATCTCCACCATTGTCTGTGCTTTGGCAACAGCAATGTGTTGCATGCAGATGGTTTCTTCTGATCTTCTGCAAATGGTGAGTATGTTTCAGTGGCACCACAGGGTTTGTCCAGTGTAATACAGTGTCCTCTCTGTGGATACTCATTTGCACCTACTCTTTGTTTATAAACTTAAGCCTGTTTGTGTCTCTGTGTAGTGTTAGAATGTGTGTGTACATGGGTGTATTTTTTATCTGCATACATCTATATAAACATAGCATATAGATGTATGCAGCATGAGGAGCTGCTGTGTTTTAGTGTTTATGTATTATAGTCGAGTGGTGTGATCAGGATTTTGCAATTGGGAGTTCTTTTTGTTAACGAGGTTATTAATGAGGATTAGTTACAGATGCACGTTACATTTGCTGTCATCACTTGTATATTATCTCCAGTTTCCACACTCCCCAGAGCAATTACTTAGCTTTAAGACCCCAGTTTTCATTACTAGATTGGTATGAGAGCTATGTAGTATGAGAAGTATAAGCTCAAAACTGGAACTTTTCTCAGCCCTGTGCCAATAATTGTGTTTTCATAAGGAAAACATGTTCCACCTCAGAGTAGCATTTCTGTTCAAAACAAGAGCAAAAAGGATCGTTAGTCTTCTGCATAGTCAGCTGCATCACAGGATGCTGTCTTGTTTTGGTTGGACAAAGGCAGCTTTCCTATGCCAAATGAATGTTGGTATTCACAAAATTTCAATGTATCAAAACAAAACAAAATTTTAAAAACCTTTGTATTTTTCAGACCATTGCTTGTAACCTTGCTCTATTGCTGATTAATCTAGGAAATGTCCTGTTTAATAAGGGAGGGCAAACACACAAACCTAATGCTAGCCATTTGTATATCTTGTATTGGAAAAGTTTGTATAGATGGAAGACTGGCCCAGCAAGTTAGCTGCAAACCATTTAAACAACACAGAAATGTTGTATAGCCTGCCCATGCAGGCACAGTTGTTTTAAAAATAAATAATTAGAAATACACTGGGTGCCATGGGTATTGATTTAAGTGCATCAATTATGGAGATAAGGCTGTCCTTTCTAGACAAGTGTTCCAGTCACTGGGTTTCAAACCCAGTTAAGGAATATCTTCAGTCTGGGATCTGGTGTTTCCTTCACATAGTAATGGGTATAATAAGTTAGGCTCATATGTTTAGGTAATTACTGCGAATAGTACATAAATGCATTTTTGCTGTAGGGCTCTGTGTGTGCATATTGTGCAGGCTTGTAGAGGCTTGTAAACAGTGCTTATTTAATAACACTAGTATGGATGGGAAACAATTAACAGAAATAATAACTTCAGCTGATGACACTTCTATTTTAAATGTTAAAGGGTTTTTATCATATTCTGGGTATTCTTCCTTTTCATACACTCCCCCCCTCTGTATTTACTACAAGAATGCCCATTGATTAAAGAATTTTTTCACTTTGCAGTGATGATGGGGAGGTGAAGAGATTATTATACCTTGAAAAATCTGTCTAGTGGAAAAATGGTAGCAGTGATCCAGAAGTGTATATTCCAGAAATCTTGATCTACACTTAATGGTATTTAGCAGTGTCAGAGGAATAAAAGTGAATAGGTAACAATGAACCAAGACCAATATTAAAATGCTTCTGATGGGCATATGCAAGAAGCAGTAACCTCAATAGGAAGTCAAATTCCTAAAAGCACATAATTTTTCTCTCTGCCACCTCATTCTGGATATCATTAAGATTCCTTCTTTCCCACCTGGCAATGCTGCCATTTCTTGGTTTCAGTGTTTATTTCTTTTTGCTTCCTGTTTCCAGCTTTGTCTTCCTGCTAAGTTGTCCGTTCTCCCACCCTTTCAGCTCCATCGACAAGAATTTTCTTCCTTCTCCCCAGAGAAGGGGAAATACATATATATCTATATTTCTGTTCAATCTCAGTCTTTTCTTGTTTATCAGTTTTTCCCTTTCTTTTTTCAGGTTGCTGAGGCAGATTCCTACCGGGCCTAAGTGAGCGTAACTTCCCTGGGGCTACGCTGACTTAGACCAGCTGAACTTTCACCTGAGGATTTCTTTTTCTTTCACTACTTTCAGCCTATTGTCCCCTGGTCTGCAGTTCCCCTTTGCTCTACTACATCCAGAAATCTGATTAACTTCCTTTTCTCTTGTTTGTTGTGCTCGATTTGTGCTTTTTCCTTTTACTTTTCACTGATGCATCTTCTTTTAGCTGAGTTGTACCATGTTGGAATTTTGACAGCAGCAGCAAGAGATACCACTCCTCATAGCTGAAAAGGTTTTAGTTATTGTGATGATGGTTTTATACTCTGTTCTACAGTATTCGAGAGCTCTGTAGGCTCTCCTGTAACAAGAAGTGGCAATAGGGAACACCCTCCTTGGATGTCATTAGGCTATCATTAGAGCAATCAGTTCTGTGGTTCCTGTGCTGTGTTCTTGTCTCAGAAATTAATCCATTGGAATGGTAATTTTTGCGAATTCAAAGAATTCCAATTTATTGCTTAGCAACATAAAGCAGGTGTGACAGTCTCAAGAAAATTTGCAGCAATGATTCTGTGATTTTGAGCTTTGTTGATGGCTTTTGCATACAGCAAGTGTCTTGATTCATACAGATAAACTGAGGTATTTTACTGGAAGCTGCTGTCTTCTGACATCCCAACCTTTAGGAAAAACATCTTAAAAACACAAACACAAGCTGTCCAGTAGTAAGCACAGTTTAAATTTTCCAGTGAATTTGAAGAGGATTTTTTTTGGTTTAAAACCAGTCCTACCCTAACAAATGTTTTATTTCAAGTGCTAAGGAAAAAACAATACAGCAAACTACTTCAAAGTGGTTTTATTGCTTTATATTTTATTTTATATTTTTTTCTGGGTTGTTCCTTGTTTGAGTTGACTGTTTCAGAAAGTACTCAAAAATTTTCATTTGACTTTAACCTTTCTCACTGTGTTAAGTATATGCATTTGCTCAGGCAAAGAAACCCTACCAGTTGTAAGAAAGCTGCAAGAGAAAGTGATATCATAGCTAAAGATTGAAAAGGCATTTGTTGTGTTTCACTAGAGAGTTTAAGGCTGCACTACATTACAGGGCTTCCCAGAATTGTTCTTTCTATGTACACACCCCTCCAGGAAATAAATGTGAATCAAATCAGATCATATCAAGGCTCTGTAATGTGAAGAAACCTCTCTTAATAACCAAACTGTCACTTCCATGATATTTCATTTTTTGCCTGAGGCAGTTTCAGTTTGCATCTTGTCTGATGAATGGCTACTGTGGAAATGCACCCTGTTTTCTTCAAAAGGTAGCTGCCTGGATTAAAGTAAGAAATACAAGGTATTATACCCACTGTGGCCAAGTTAAAGCATGAATTACACCTATTGCAGTCCTCCTTCCACTCCAGATATGTTTATACACTTCTTATCCTAGAAGTGCTGGCACCGATATCATTGAGTGTGTTGTGATTTTATCACCATCACTGTTAGTAGCTGTTCATGTTGTGTGATACCTAAAACCATCTGCTATTTTGTAAAGAAAATAAGGTAATGATGACACATGCAAGCTGTAGTGTTTAATTACTGTTTTCATCAGTCCTAGTGATAATTCAGCATGTCATTATCTTAATAGGCTGTAGTTAATATTTCTACTCAAGCACCTCACAGAAAGCATCTCTGTATGAGGGTAATACCTTGCTGACATTGTTTAACCCCCATGTTCTGGTGAAATAGTAATTAAAAACACCTGCAGAGTCAAGCTTAAGTGAGAATCCATCTTACGTTATTGTGTACCATTTTTAATCTAATGACATCAAAATGTAAATAATTCTTTTTTGTGCACAAAGTTCACTTACAGGTAAAACCCAGATGACAGTCCTTTTAGAAATATGCGTTGGGAATGATGTGCATCCATAGAAAAATCCTAAATGTAAATATGGTTGCATAAATACTCCTCTCACACCCACCATAAATGCATACCTTAGGTCAGGAAATCTTTTGACATTTTTAACAAATTTAGCATTTTTCATCAAACACTTTATTGGTAGAATAATAATATTTAAGATTTAAGACTAAAATATGATAAGTGGTTCAAAAAAGACATCACAGAGCAATGCCCATGAGGCTGCAGAGCTAATGGCTTGTGATGGCTGCAGGAACAGCAACTGGGAAAAACAGAAAAATCTGAATGTGTTTTCCTTATCAAAATATCTTCTGTCTCATAATTCCCCTTTAAGATCAGGGACAAATTAGAAGAGTCAACTGTGGTCCTTTTGTTCTTCTAGACAATTAGAGTCTACATTTCCCTTCAGCAGATACTGATTCCAACGTTTTAGAAAAGGAAAACAGCAACTTGTCCAGGAGGACAGTTAATTGACGACAGAATTATAGACCCGAGTGTATTGCACAGAGCTTTTACTCAGGATAACGTGCCAGTATTTAATTATATGCAATTAGAAATTTTTATTTCCCATTCTCAAAAATCAGCAGATCTTTTATAAATGACTGAAATGAGAATAATGAACTCTGGAGTCTCCAAAGGACTGATTTCAGAGTTATACAGTACGTCTAATAAATGTGATATGGAAGACAGAGGTAATTACATGCAGACACAGGAAAAACTCCAGATAAGTTTCCCTTAGAGCACCAGGCACATAGTGATATATGGCACTTGTGGTTTAGATAAGCTGTAATTGCTGAGCAGTGGCTCAGCTGTGGCATTTACATTGGGTCAGTGGTGCTGAGCAGCTGCAGGATGTACAGAGCACAGAATGTCTTTGCTGGTGTTTAGTGGGGAGGTCCCACAGCTGGGAATCCTGGTGCAGAGCTGTTAGTCTCACATGCCTTGGGCAGAAGGATGGACCATGTGGTATCACATGAGGAACTCTTTCAACAGAGAATTATATTGACAGGTCTTACCTGCTGTTTCTTCAGTTCCTTAACTGGGTCTCCTCCATCAGCTTTTATCTCAGTGTACTCAAAATATTCAGAACATGAATAATACAGTCTGATCACTTCAGTGACCAACTTACAGACAGCCTTTCGGTGAAGAGCTGGAAATTCAGTCTGACAAAAAGAGAATGAGTTTTACAATTTTACGCATATCTATGTAATGGTGTTTATTTCACCTGGTCAAGTTAAAAACTGAGAGAGGAGATGTGTTATTCTTCACTGGGCAGGGATAGCTGATGTGTCTGGCTGCAGGCTGTGAGCTGGCAGAGGAGGTCACCGGTGTCCAGCTCCATTGTTGGCTGTGTGGAATTCTCAGTACTGTGGCAGTGGACCCTTGAGCATAATTTTCAAAAACTTCTACCTCTTTTGTAAGTGAGGTACTTCTAGCATTTGTGCTTCTAATTCTCTGCTTCCTGACAACGTGCTGCTGCTGCCCTGGCAAACCTCTGTGTTGAATGCAGGTCCAAACAGTGGGTTTACAGTGTTTTACAGCTTTCTTGTTTACCCTGCTGCAACCAGACAGAGAGCATGTTTTACTCTTCATTCATAACTGCAGACAAAATTTAAAAAAAACGTAGTCCTCGCTATGAGGGCTGTTTAAATCAGGCTGTTCCACTCTGTCCAAGTCAGACTGCCCAATGAAAACACACCGAGTTCTGTGGTCAGTGTGTGCTCCGTGTTCCATATCTCTTTAGCACATGCACTGGGCTGTGTAATGCCCATCCAGTATCATACATGTTTCACACACTAAATTAAGGATGAGAAGTTACCTGTCTGTGTGAGTGTAATATCTGAATGCCAAGCTTCAAACATAAGGTCAGCTGTTTCCTAAAAGACCATGAATTCCAGATCTGTATTTCATTGCCTGTCAGATTTCTGAAAGCTCCCAGAATCCAACAGCTCCAGGAGGGTAACAGAAGTGGTTGAGTTTTCTGAATTTCCACAGCCATGGGCTTTCTCTTTCTTTCTAGTAAATATGTTTAAAGTATCTGTTGATAGCTATAAATTTTTGCTAAATTTCATGGTGTTAGATATTTAGCATTTACCAGAGATGCTGTATGCTGTTTACCTTTGCAACCATTTTCTATCCATTGCTTCTGCAGTGGCCATTAGTTTAATCCCAGGGCTGGCTGAGAAACCCACTGTGTGAGTTGTTCCATGGTGTGAGCTGTAGCTTTTGACATGATATTGAGTGCAACTTGACCCTGTTTATCCTAGTGACTGAACAGACCACCCCCATTTTCTGCTTGGCAGTTCTTGTTGTTGCCTGTCCCATTTGCCATCAGTATCTTGAGACTGATTATTTGATAACAGCTGTCTTCTAATACCAGAAATGTGTGTTTCTGTGTGAAGGTATTTGTCAGTGTTTCTTCAGCTTTCTCAGCTCTTTGCATTTTATTACTGTTTTTTTTTAACCTATGAAATTTGTATTAAGCCTTTGCTGAAACCCTGCCAGACTTCACCATTTGAGACTAACTAGATATTCAAAATACATTTTCCTGTAGAAAGAATAAGCTTTTTCAGGCTAGCAGAGATCAGTGGACAACATAGTATGGAATAAAATATGACTTAATTCCCACTTACTAGCTTTCAATTGTTTTCTCAAGGATGTCTGTTCTTGGTGGTAATCCCTTATATTTGCTATTGTTTCATTTCCTGCTAGTTTCACTCTTACAGCCTTTTTCACTTTAATTTCTGTGCCTTCCAGCAGGATGATATCACACAGGTAAACTGTTGTTTATAAATACACCAAACATGTGTATTTCCATGTCCATCCTGCTGCTCGTTGTCAAGTGTTGGTCACAGTTCGTTGCCATGGTTTGTATTGCCAGATCTTGAAAGGGGTGCAGATAACTCTGCTGTTCAACTGAGCTGCACCCAAGCAATAGATCTTTTCCTCCTGGAACCACAGCCCCTTCTGCCCTGTGTAAAACCTCTCCCTTCTGTCTGTCCCACAAAGTGTGTGCTGATGGTTCACCTGCTGTGCAAGTGCTCTGTGTTTGATTGCCCTGTTCTGGCAGTGGTAAGGGTATCACTCCCAGTATGAGGCTGGATGGATCCAGCTCCAGGGACCTCCAGGGCTGAGGGAACAGAGCTACAAGTTCTTGGGTGCAAACCAAAGCTTGGGGTCCATGGCAGTATGGAAACAGTCTGTGAGAAGGTCAAGGAAGTTGTAAATTAAAATAGTTTTGTTTCCAGACTGTGAAAATGACCCAAATTTTCTACTCTTTTAGGAAAATTACAGCAGTCCTGAGTTTGGTGGAGTCAAACAATGTACAAAATGTGACCCAGCATACTCAGATATTTGTCTTCATTATGATAAATGTTTACAGGTTTTAGGTAATTATATTGAAGTTTGTCTTGCTTGCTTTTTTCCTGAAAGATTCTTCCATGTATTTGAGATTGTAACTCACCAATGATTGCTTATGATTGCTTAGGGCAGAAGTCTGGAGTTTAATGGTTGGTATTAATGTTGTGTTACACTTTGGGAAATGGCTGATGAAAGATCAGAGGAGTTGAGACCAAATGACTACAAGAAAGTTTTGGGTTTTTTCTGAAAGCCAAATAGAGTAATGTCTGATAGTACCTGGGATAACAGCATCCCACCTCACATGGAGGACAAAAGAGCATCAAACATTTCACATAATGAAGAGTAAATCAAACTGATGCCATGTCTTGTTTCTCTGTTGTACCATGAATAGAACACAATGGCTGAAAGTCTTTGGCTGTAGGATGTAAGGAAATAACTCATTCTGCAGAGGAGGTTCTTTATTGATAGTTATGTGTGGAAATATCTCTGGAGAGCTGATCAGAGAGCAGCTGATACTTCATTTTCACAAACAGTTGATACTGGTCCTCCTGACCCTCTGCTGTGCTGTATTGTTACAGCTCTGACCTTTGAAACACCATACATAGAGTGAGTTTAATAGAACTAAGAGGTAACTCAAGCTTTAAAACACAAAAGACCAGTATCATTTCTGTGGTAATGTGAATTCAGCAGAACTACACTGAAATAAATTTCAAAAAGTGATAAATATAGAACTGTGATATTAAAAACAAAGGTAATTTACTTTTCTGGATCTCCTAAGAATAAACATTTTCCCTTTTATTTTACTGCTTTCTGAATGTCTATCACGGATTTTAACAAACAATAATGTAATGAGCCTACAGTACAAAACCATAGGTTGTCTTGTTCCAGTCTAAAAAAGAAATGTGCCTTCAGCAAAGTTTCTTAGCAGGCTTGTTTTAGAAGGCAGGAGCTAAAGATCAAGTCATCTATGATCCAAGAAAAGTTATATAAGAGCAGAAGCTTCCCTGGAAAAGAAAAAATTCTGTGGTTTTGGATTGTCTTTTAGTTCTCCTTTGATCCATGGGGACCAAATAGAGTCAGGTGTGGGATGTGGGATTTCAGGATGGTCCAGATTTGATCTTGGATTAGTTCAGGCCTTTCCCAGAACACTTTTGAGTGCTCCTGATATCAATGGTGTTGGAATGCCTTCTTTAAATCCCTGCTCTGCTGGAAGCTGATGAGGTTTCTGTCACAAATGTTGATGTGGTTCTCATTATTATTACTTTTTATTGTGCAGTGTAGTTATTTTCTTTTGGGTTTTGAGATGTGTATATGGAATAAATGTTTTTCTTACTTTCATACCAGTGCTTATAAGCTTTATACCACATTTAACTGTGCAGTGTCTGTATCACCAAATCACAAACAGCTATTAAGAATATTTCATTTTATAAGAATAATAAAGAATAGCTATAAACGGCCCCTTCATTGGAAGTGAAAAATGAGTGGGATATTTCCATTTTTTAAAATTCAAAATATAATATCTACATAGTAGCCTGTTTCTAGGTAGTTTTATTTGGGGTTGTTTTGGGGTTTGGAATTGGGATTTTTTTTTCGCTATAAGTGCAAGGCAGTCCAGATTGGAAACAAAAAACATGGAAATATTTATTTTAGTAGTTATATCTATTTTTTTTAGTTATTAGAATAGAAATGATTATGTGGGGCTACAATAAAACAATATGCAACGTAGAAATATTTATTGAAAAGCCATTAAATTGTAAAGTCTGTGTCCTGCATCCTAAGGCTGACTGGCTTGGAGGCCCACAGCCTCTTTGTCTTTAGTAAAACCTTGTGCTGTATTTTGGCAATCTGATTCACCTTCCTCACTGATCACAAGTATTCTTATGCTCCCAGAAGTGCCTTTTTAATTTCAGCTTGGGTATTAATGAATTTGGTATTGGTCAGGGTCGCTAATATTTACCTTTTATTAAAATTGTTAATATTGGAGACAATGATTCTACCATCTGAAGGAACTTTACCTGTTCATTTTCAGTTTCTGCCACAGAGGCCCCATTCTGCCAATCCTGACTGCATGACTCCACATGGAACTGTCCTGCACCGGACCCTGGATTTTGATGAGTTCATCCCACCAATCCCCCCCCCTCCCTACTACCCACCGGAGTACACCTGCACGCCCGTGGGGGAGGCACAGAGGTGATTCTCTCTCCCTGCTGTGCACTCAGCACTCGGCTCTGAGCTGTGGGCTAGGGAGCTCTTTCAAAGAATACAAAGCCAGATAATGTCCTTCACTTACATTAAGCTCTTCGTTTCCAGAGAGATTACATGTGGTTTTTTGCAAGCTTGTTAGGCTACGTCTGGAAATATTTGTGTTAAAGCTCTGCTGAAATAGAGAAATTATTTAACTTAACTAAGACAAGGATAACAGTGTCTGAGCTTTGAGCAAAGATCCCTTTGTGATTCTTTCACAATTAACTTTGTACATTTGAAGTTGAGTATGAAATTTAATTTTTTAAGGAAATTATTTCAATTAATGTGTATTTATTTGGACTAGTGGAGGACATTAATTATGGCAAAACAGGCTGGTAAAGATGTTAAAGCTACCCTGTGAACCAGGGCTTCATTTTGGATGTCTAATAAATTTCTTGAATGTAATTCTTTGTAGTGTATTGGCTTTGAATTCAAAGAAGTCTTTACATCACTGTGGTATAGGTAATAAATCAATGCCATTTCTTAATTGTTTATTTGTTTATGTTTTTATGTAGAAATCTCCATTTGGACTTCCCTCATTCCCCATTTGGTGCTTTATATGAAGTAACCATTAATAGCCCAGGAATGCTGTATCCAAGTGAGCTGCCCCCTCCTTACGAGGCAGTGATCGGAGAGATGCCTGCCAGCCAGGTGAGGAAAACCAAAGGAAAATCTTTATGTGGTCTTCAAATTTTCATGTTCCTTGCTGAACAGCAAAATTGGGAGTTTTCAAGGCCATCTCCTTCTAGAATATTTTTTATCCAGGTTTCATCCTTTTTCCTTGGCCGTAACACAGATGAACCTGCAAGCCTTGGAGAAGTCAATATTCAGTGAAAAAAAGTGGACAAAAGTGCTATGAATCATGCATGGTTTGGGGGGAAAGAGAAGACTCCTATCTGTGATAAGAATTCATATGTGGTACTAAGTAAGGATTATTAAGTGTCTATTTTTAGTAAAGCACAAAATCATTTTGAGCACTCTGGTGACTGGTACCAGTCTTGGTGTGAGCATCAACATGCAGCAGCACAATAGCACCAGCATGTAACAAAAATCCATTTAACAAGATGTGACTTAAAGCTGCAAAGTCATGCTCTTGCAAGAAGAGCTTGGCTTTAATAAGTAGATGTATTCACTGCTAATTTTTGGCATCTGGAGTCAGTTTCAGCACCTTGCCTGTTCACCTCTGGCCACCTGAGCTCCAGAGGTGTTTGGTCTAATCACCAGTGAAGATGAGTGGTGACTTCATTGCTAATAGTGATAATTATATTGTTTCTTACCAGGAGTGAGTTTATAGTTGGTAGTTGCTGTTCAGAGAGCTTGTGACGGGCTCTGTGTCTCAGCACTGAAGCTCACTGGCAGCAGTAACCAAAGCCTACAGTGACAGCCACAGATTTTTTTTTGACAACAAAAGCCTTCATGCATTTTTTGCAATTAGTGTCCCAGCTGAGCTGTCTAAGACAGTTTTGGGTCTACAAGAAGAACAAAATGGAGACCCGAGTCCTTACATGCTGCAAATGCTCCCATAGAGCACAGTACAGTAGGAACTGAAATAATGAGATTTATAAATCCCTTAAAGGCAGGCTTGGCAATGGAAATCCTGTCAGGGATTTAGCTACAAAAGTGCTTCTGGGAACCATTATGTAATAATGTCATAATTGTAAAACCTTTTACTGTGCATCAAGCAATAGGTTTTATTTGTTTTTAAATGGATTGAGGTCCTTAGAATTTTATTAAATTGTACCAAATTAGACTCGGTATTTCATGCATTTTATGGGCAACAAATGTCAGTGCTAATTTAAGTGGTTGCATCCATGTAAAAATTACTGTTGTCATCTGTACTGATTAGGAATTCCCAGTACATGACTATAAAAAAAAAAAAAGTGGTTTTCAGTGTTTTCCATGCAAAGTATTGACTGGAATATAGAAAATATAAGAACAAACAGATCAGGATTCTGGGTGAACTAAATCAATGACAGTGTTTTATAAGGTTTTCTAACCTGTGGGCTTTGCAGACTTGTTAAAAGCAGAGGTTTTCTTCCTTTTTTCTATTGATGGCTTAGTGACTGTCTGAGGATCTGGAATTCAATAAGGTTTTGTTACCCTTGGCTGTGCAGCAACCTGCATGAAACCATGTGCTGTTCCTGTGTGAACCAAAACTCTGACCTGGCTTCAAAATTTTCAGTGGTACCTGCTGCAATTAAAACCTGGTTCTCCTTCCCCCAAGCAAGAGGGTTAATCAATTCCAAATGCATATAAAATACATTCAGCAATTATTCAGAGACAATATAGAGTGTCAATAAATATTTCAGCACAAATTTTCCACAGATGTTTTCCAGTCAGTGATTAAGAAATTAAGTCAGTGATAAATTCTTAATCTAGGCACTTTCATAATGAAAGCCCCTAGAATCCCTAGATTTTAGAAAGAAACAATCACCTTTAAAAGATTATACCATTTCTTTTAAAAGGTAGTAAGTCTGAGTTTTCTACAACAAAGAGCATTTGTGAACGTTGCTTACTTTTCTGGTTAGTTCCCAGAACTTCCACAGTTAGATCCCAGGAACAATCTGTGAATTCAAGGGACACCACATTTTACTTTTTATCATGGATGTGATACTCTGCTACAATCAAGAAAGTTAAGAAATTTCTATGGGAATTGTTTAAAAATATGAGTGATTTCACTTTTGCTTCCCAGTCCTCTATCCATCTCCTGCTGAGTTAAAGTATTTCTGGTGCTGTTCTTTCCTTGGAGTTGTATTTGCTCAACCTTCAAATGATTTTTAAAAACAAAATTTGTATCAAAAGAAACTTTCTGGTCACTGGATCATAGTGATTGATATAAATAAAACAGTGAGCACAGTAAGTTATGCACACATATATGTGCTTTAATCTACACTGGCATGTGAAACACAACCTCTTGCCCTAATAGCTTCAGACTAATTGTGTCACATCCAATTTTTTTATGCCAGACACACATTAAGTGCTTGACAAAAAGGTTTACACAGAGGTGACTGATGCTGATTTCTAGACTGTCACCAACCATAATAAGTTCTACTAGTTAATTGTGGCCCTACAGACAGAAATAGATACAATGCTTTCAGCTCAAGATGGTATCAATTTCATTCCTTTCAACCTTTTTGTATTTTTTCTCATTTTTTGTTACTAGCTATCTATTGGAATCATTTCTTTTGATAATCACATTCCCAAAGAACTGCTAAAAATCTATCAATATTGGCAACAAGGTCCAATCCAAAGTCTAATCAAAAGCAGAAAGAAAATTTCCTACATTTCAGGTATTTATGGATCCAGTCTTTCCAGCAGGAATGACTCTATATCATGTTCACATGATTCTCAAAAGTGAAGGGAAGTTACCCCCTTAGATCCACCCCTTCAGAAAAAAGGTGAGTGGTAATACTATCTCCACTCAGCAATCTCCACCAGGCTGGAGAGCACCTGCGTGGCAATGATGTCATAGGGCTTCAAAACACATTAACACTTAACATCCTCACAAATAACAAAGGGAAAATACTGCTCTTGTGCTTGTTTTTGTGGTTTCTGGTTTTCTCTCTCCTATTTTAGGGTGATATAATGTGGTGAACAAAAAAACCAAGCACAATATGAGAAACACAGACCGTAGAAAGAGAGCTTGCTTTTACAAAACTCAGATATTAACTTTAGTAGTGTGAGCCTGCAGCCCCAATCCCTGTGAACTCAAGATGAATTTACCTTGTAGAATCTGGAAAAATGTAAAATTGCATTGAGAATTTGCTTTTGCCCTGCATTTGCTTCTGACCCAAAGATGTAAAATACATTAAATAGCTTTCAGTCTGAATAACAGCTCATATGAAAGCGACTCAGCATTGTCGGGTATGTCCTTCAGGTCCTGAGCACTACACTTTGGTGAGTTGCAGGTTAATGAGCTCTTTCATTCCAAATGTTCATTTAGGTCACTGGTGCTGCTCAGCAAGTGTCTGCATCGAGCCTGGGGGAGAGGAACACGACCCCGGACTTCAGCACACAAGGTGATTGTGGCTTTGCATTTGTCTCCTTGGAGATGGAAGTGGGAATTTTGAGCAGACTTTCTCTTCTCTTTTGCTATTCCTAATGGTGGAAGAATCATTTGTTTTCAGTATTCATGGCAAGAAGGACGTTTCCACAGTCAGAGGCTGGGGGTGGAAGTGCAGAGGAGAGTTTGGCTAGACAAAGCAAGCTCTAGTTAGGTCCTTTGAGGTGGATCTGGCGACTGTAGTTTCTCTTCGAAGAGTCCTGAGCATTCCTTGCAGCTTGTGTCTCATTGTCAGCAACGATGGGTGGCTTCCTGACCCTTGAACTCCTCCAAAGAGTAGTTTTCTCCATAGCTTCCAGGAGCCTGAATAGGAAGCTTGCTACCTGAAGCAAAGATGTTGGAGATGCAAATAGATGAGGAGCAGTACAGGCCACCTGTTTATTTAAAGTTGAAAAGTCAGTATCAAGAGCAGCACAAAAATGTCTTTGCTGAAGGACACTAGAAAGAAGTCAATTACTTCAGTGGTTTGTGGTTTGGCCTTCTTCATCTGAGAGCTTTTGAGTTTTTATTGATAGAAGAACTTGCAGATTGCCCAATTTAAGTCAGTCTACAGAACACGGGGAGGGAGATGATTGGGAGGGCAGGCAAGAAGTTTTAATTTTTCTCGTGAATCTCTTGTTTTGCAGTTTCTGTTGAGAGCACGTCTTTGATGGTCTCTGAGGCTGTTGATATTCCAGACCGTAGCTACTCCTCTGAAGATCTTTGTTCACTGGAAGTTCAAGGATCTCTCCAATCTGCAGATCTTTCTCCCTACTGCATAACCCCCAAGGGGGCTGCAGACCAGAGCTGCAGTGCCCTGGATTGCCACACTCACTGCAGGTTTCACAGAACTCGCTCAGAGGCCTTTCCTGATGAGGGTGACAGTTCCCACAGCCGAGCCTCTACAGACAGGTCTCAAGGACAGGAAAAGAACTGTGCCCACAGCAGGTCCTTGGACTGTTCCTCAGGGAATTACAGCCCCTCAGAACGAGAACTGCAGAGTTCTGCTCACGAGAGCAGTGCCACACCACCTTTTAAGCAGAAGAAAACCTGCTGCGTGGACTTTCACCGGCCTCCTGCCGCTTTCCAGACCTCTCCCTGTTTTGGGCCCGCAAATACTTCACCACGTGCAAGTGGCCCCGAGGCTGCTGCCCAGCCCCAGCACCTCCCAAAGCACCCAGCCTCAACCATCGTCCGCTCCAGCAGTGCCCCTGTGTCCTGCTCGTCTGGCACTGAAGGTAGGTGTAGGAGCACAGGGCAGCAAACCTGGAGCAAAGTGCTACTATTGATTTGTGCAGCAATTGGTGCTGCTGGAAATTATATGCAGTGCTCCAGAGAGGCTTTCTTAGGTGTGAAGGCTTTAGCTCCATGCATATTTTGTAAATTTGAAAATTTTTAAGAATGGAAAAATTGACAGAGTGAAATTAATTTTAGATTTTCTAAATTTCACCATTCTTTCTGTACTGCTCAGAAAACCATGTGTTGAGTAGTTTTTCCCACCTTTCTACTACTGTTCTACTGAGAGGCTAAACTAAGAAGTGCAATGGCAACTGGGGTTTATTTAGGAAACTATTACTGGAGCTGTCACGCTTGTACAGCAGGATGTGTTTCTTCAAGGTGACACTGACATTGGCAGTATTGGGGCATGTCAGAGGCAGTCACTGTGACTAGTGGCAACTTGAGGTGTATGGTGATACGTTTGGAAGGACAAAGAAATGAACATGAGGCACACGACAAGATGATAAAGGAAAAGGAAAGCTTTTGGCTTTCGTGGATGTCTTCTATGAATCTCCTTTTAGAAAAGTAGGGAAAAGAAGAGGAGATGTTAGCTGAACAGTGTAGCTTCATAAAAATATCCTTGTTAGTGAAAAAGAAAGGGCTGATTTAAGTAGAGAATAATAGCAGGAATGTAGAGCTGTCTACTATTTGAATGGGATCTAAGCTGTTTAGAGAGATTCAGAAGGGTAACCTGGAGAAGTGGCTTGAAAGTAAAGATTAAAAGCTTTTTAAGATGTCATGGGTTCTGCTGCTACAAGATCTGTTCACCAGGCTTTCTAAGGGATCTAGAGCAAGAATGATGTGACTAACTCAGAGCAAAAGGAGACAAAATATTGAAATAACTGGTTTCATTTAGGATGATGTTTTGGTTCTGTTGCACTTCTTGCATCTTAATAATATAATTTCAGACACTACATGCTTAGCTCAATAATTGAATGTCTTTTACCTTTAGAAATGTCTAAGCCTCTGCATTTGAGCCAGGAAAGGTGAATCTTTAATCTAGAAGTCTGCATTTATTTTATGACATTTACTCTGCTAGGACATATGTGCAATGAAGCTGCCAGTAAGCAGACAGTAAGTAGGAATTTCTGAATCCTTTCTGCTGTGGAAAGTGAAGAACAACCTTTTCTCTTCTGGATCAGGCTCTGCAGCTCCCAGAGCTGTGCTCCATGTGTTTGCCATGGGCAGCCGTACCCACGTGCTCCAGCTGGCTCTGGACACCTGCTGGAACAGATGCCCTGCCTTCTTTTCTCATGTGTCCTGAATACATTCTTCATTTCTTCTAGAAAAGTGGCATGGAGGGACATGAGTTGGACATTACTGAGATGTAACTGGGCTTAGCAGAGACTGGAGTAAAGAGGGAGAGAAAGTTCTAGAGATGCTGACACACAGGGGAGGGGGAGCAAGAGCAGTGACTCAGAGGGGCTGGATGCTGACCTACTTTGCTGCCTACAGGAGACACTTCCTAATGAAATCCTTCAGGGATGGATTGACTTGAGTCTCTAGTTAAGCCTAGATGTATTTCTTCATACATGTGTTTGGCAAACTGGTTTGCAATATTTTGCTCTGTGCCTTTTGCCTGTAAAGTTTGTCATGGCAAAAGTGGAAAAAATCAACTCCTAGCACAGCCATTTATTACAATAAACTTCATTTATAATCAGCTATGATAGACTATGTGGCTGTATCAGTTAAGTGCCTGAGTGATTATTGTAGTGTTTGTGTTCCAGATAATTCAGGGTCATGTCCAGTGGTGTAGTTTTGACTTGCTGCAAGTACATTAAACTGTTTAGTAATGGATGGGAAGACAGAACCTCTGAAGTGTCTCCTCTTAATAACCATGCCATGATTCATGTGCTGCAGTACTTAAGCATAATAGAACAAATTAAAGACAGACTAGAAGCTGTCTCTCTTAATTTCTTACAGATTTGCTATGTTTTTAGCATCTTACATTTGTTTCCTTCATTTAATTATTCACTCCACCAGAGAGGATTATGCCAGCTTTTCATTATAAACTGTCCCTGGAGATATGGAAGAAAACCTCTCCTGCGCTACCTAGAAGTTCAAAACCATTTTCAATTTTGGAAACAGATTAACAACCAAACGTGAGGGTTTATTCCATCTTGTCACAAATGAAAAAGACTGCAGGTGGTAGCTACTGTACAGTGTGATCTCATCATCATTGATCCTTGTGCTGGAATCCCATAAACTGTCATTAGATGGCATCCAAAGCTGTTTGTAGATGCTTCATAACCACTTATTGATTGGCTCATCAGGTACCATCCTGCTCACCTACCCATTAATTTAAACAATGGTGTACTACATTTGTACTGAAAATGATGATAATATATTTTAAAAAGGAGGAGAAATGTTGAATAAAATGCTGGGTTTGTAGAAATGAGAGGGAATAATTTTTCTCATTTTTCCCATCTTCCCATATAAACTCTGTCCACCCAGGAAATACAGAATAGGTCTGAGGTCTGCCTCTTTAGGGAGCTTGCCATAGTTTCAGCACTTAGGCCTGAAAAATTTAGGATTACAGAGGAAGCCATAAAACATGAGCTCTGTATTCCTGTTTGTGTAACAACTCATAAGGCATTTCTGGGTGTAGTAGCTCCTCTTTATGAATGGACATTTTGCAAGCAGTATTTCTTCTAAGTAGTTTCATTCTGTAAAGGATATAATAAAAGGTTTCAGTGTATTTTTCCTTGCTTTGGGCAGAGGACAGCAGGGGTTGACTTTGCTCTTTCTGTCTGCCTTTGGTTAAAGGTGATAATTGTGCCTGGACTTCTGTGTGCAGGCAGTGCCAAGATGCAGGATTATCTCCAGCTACAGGAGAAACAGGTGAGAATTGGTTTTCTAAAGCAGAAGATGGGTTTCCTTATTTTCTTTTAAAAATAATAAAAAGCTTCTGAGAGAGAAATGAGCTTTAAGAACTCTGGGGCAGAAAAGCCAGTTAACAGCATACGTGTATGGTGTACAATGCTGATGGAACCTGCCTTGAATGAAAATAAATCCTGTGAATTAGGTCCTCTCATTTAGATCAGCATTTTTGCTTTCTCTGTGTTTCTCACTAGTCTCTCTTGCATATAATTTCCAAGGCCTAGAAATAGGCAGAACTTTAGTCTTAAAGTTGGGGTGAGGGACTGGGCCTAAAACTTTGAGTTACGCGTAACAGAGTAGCTGGTGAGTTTTCTTATCATTAATGTCAGCTGAAGTCCTTGAAGGTGGAGGTAACAAAAATGTCTGGTTTGTGCAGTACTTTCATTACTCACCCACTCATTCCATAGCCTCCTCGGCTATGGGAAGGTCTTACTCCTGATTACCCCTAGTTACTCCTGGTTAAAATTACCCATTTTGTAGTATTTCCTTGACTGCATGTTTTTGCTACTCTTCAAACAAAACAGACATTTTATGACAATGTAGAAACTTTGTGACAATATTTGTTTTGCCTTTTTTTTTCTTTTCTCTTTTTCTTTTTTTAAACTATTACTTTAAAGATATTCTTCCCCCCCTTTTTTAGTTCCTGTCTCTGGTTCTCATATGGCTGCCTCTGCTTGCCAGCATTCTTTGAGCAGTTTTCTACCAACTGGAAAACAGAGGGATTCAAGGAAAATTGATCTGCACCTAAAGCCAAAGGCTTTTCACACGGTCTCGAAAGAGCGGCCACACTCCTTAGTGGACCTTAAGGCCTATAAAGACACAAAAATTTTAGTGGCAAAATTTTTGGAACATTCAAACTGTAATCTCCCTCCAGAAGTGCGTCACGTAGTGAACAGCATACGGTCAGTCATTAAATCTGATGAGAGACACATGGAAGAAGCCATCTTCAGTGCCAATATCATAGACCAGGTAGGCCACTGATGTTCTAAAGGTGTGTCCAGTTTCCACAGACAAATACCTAATTTAAATGTTTTTGCAGTTTAAGTTCTTCAGACAATTCCTATGGGAGCTCTTTTATATTACATGGCATTAGTAAGAAATAATTTCTATTTATTGGGCAGCAATAAGTGTTACACTGCAGTTCAGACAGAAAGCCTGGCTGTGCTTTCCTGGTGCCCGGTCCTGAGCACTGAGGAGCTGGAAGGACAGAAGTGGGAGGCGTTCTGGAGGGTTGAACCTCTGGAAGAGTTGTAGTGTTAGCTTAAATGAATATTCTTCAGAGACTGAACCTTTTAAATGAGAGCTTTTCTTACCCTCTTTCTGTCCTGCTCCGCTCTGCCTTCCCGCAGGTGATGACGAGCTCCGAGCAGGACGCGGGCAGCTGCAGGAAGCGGCTGCAGGAGGAGCTGCACCTGCAGAGCTGCGGCGCCCTGAGCTGCCCCGCGGGCCCCGCGCCGCGGCTCGGCCGCGCCCTGCAGCGGGAGCGGCCGCACAGCCTGATCGGCGTGTGCCGGGAAACCATCCTCTGAGCGCCACAGGTATGTCCCTGCTGCACAGGTGCGGAAGGAACCGGGACTGGCAGAAACACAACTAGTGGATGACTTTAAATGGAAAAAGTGTCTTCCTTTGGAATTCCACTTTTTTTCCCCACAGCAGGATGAGAACAGCTGTTTTTCTGAATGTAAATTTCAGCCTTGATTTTTGCAAACTTTTAATTGATTTATTAGTGAAGTCATAACAAGTGTTTTCCCAACCAGAAATGCATTTATTTCACTGTACTTACAGAAATGCTACTGATGCTGCCCAGCATTTCTTGAAAACCATTGCAAACCCACCAGACTGGCTGTACAACTTAAAAGTTGTATTTATTTAATGTACCTCAAAGTGTTTTAACTATCGTCAGTGTTTTAATAAAAAAGTATTTCTGGACTTTGCCTTTTCAACAACTGATTTGGATACAAACATAAAGGTGATTTATACACACATACAGTGCTGCTTCTAATCTGTTCTTCCAGTGTCTTTCATTCCAGACCCTATCTGGCCAATTAAAACTGCTCCCCCCTCCCAGGGCTGCCCTTTTAAACTCCAGTACTTGCTGCAATGTGCTTTATTCCTGCTCTGTTCTGAATGTTCACCAGTTCAGTCCTGCAGTAGCATGAGCGACCAAGAACTGATGTTAAATCCTCTGCAGCATGACCAAAAGATGCATTAGGGAAGATGACTGAAATTCTGCATTTCCAAAAGCATCTTTCACAAACTTTTTATCAACACCAACTAATAGGAAGTTAGAGGATTTTTTATCTAGCAGAGCCTTGAGTATTTTCAAAAAGAATTGTTACTCCAATTCATAGTTTTGACAATTTTATTATTAAAACATGTTATTGTGGTTCTGCTGTGTTTATGATTTATTTAACATTGATCTTTAAAAAAATATCAAAAAGTATATATTGACACTGATTTCATTACCAGCATAAACACAGGTCTGCCAGCAACATCTTCCAGTGCAAGCTTCATCCTGGCTCTTTCAGAGGAATTGGAAAAGCCTTAAACAAAAGGTTCTCATAAAGAACCTACCACAGGTTGATGTTTCAGGATTTTAGGGTTTTATTGCAGCAGTGCTTGTCAGCCTTAGTTTCCATTTGAGGTTTAATCATATACTGGTTTCATTTGTGTCACTCTGAGCTGGGCAGACATCCTGTGAAAAGGTCACAAAGGAACGTAGCTGAAGATGGGTAGTTTAAGTTTTACAGATTCATCCATTTTAATGTATTTTCATTAGAGCATGCTTCTGTATTGATGTGAAGTTACAGTGACATCCAGTGGCAACAAGGTATGCTAATTGAAAGCTTCTACTCTCAAGATCCTAATGATACACAAATTCCTAATTCAAGAGAATATTTCCTTAAAAAAAATCTGTGACCTTTGCAACTGCACTTAGATGAAGAATTAAATGATCTTCTACTTGGAATTTCTTACTATGTAAAGTTACACAACAAACAAAATAAGCAAGCTTCCTTTCTTATTTCAGATTTATTAGTGATAGATTAATTCTTTCCTAAGGTCAGTTGCATGCAACACACTACTCCTTGAAGTACAGTCATCTAAAGCTCTTTAGTTACTGCATGGTAAGGCTTCTTAAGTCACAGTGTATTTTCTTCAAGGCCTTGGCCAAAAGAAAAAAAATAGACAAAGTTACACCAATTAACATTTATCTCATAAGGAATACAACTTTACTACTAGGTTTTTTATCTACACACATTCTAATACTGCTGATGGTGCTAGGTTATTTGTCAAAACAATTTACATTCAGAACACATTGCCTTAGGAATAAGAATGCTTTATAAAAGACAGAAACAGGTAAGCATGGCTTTCCCATTTTGAGCTAATATGAACAAAAAAGTAATATGCAAAAATTAAAGAAAAAAAAAACCCAGCCCAACACATACATTACACAACCTGTGCAATAAGTTATCCATGAAATAACTCTGTTAAATCATAAAAATCACAAGCATTAAAAATAAATATGTATCTAAATAAATATTTTGATTTTAATCTTGTGGCAATTATTCTTTATTTAGCATATGAAACACTTGTTACATGTTTATGTTCACACCTTGCCAAACAGGTTACACTTGTCATAACAATATCAAGTACTACAGTGGTTTTCTTTACAGTAGAGCCTAAAAGTTTGAACTGCACACATTCCTTTCCACTGAAATACCATCGAATCAGCACCAGTTTTAAAATTATGCGAAGTCATCAGTATTGGACCACTTAATGGGACTGGGATTTTTTTTTAACTTGAGGCAGCCAGAACTTTCTCTAATTGCTTCTCTTTGCCATTTCCTGCAGTCTCATTCATCAAATATTCACATTCACTGTGTTATCAAACAAGACAGACATACATCACTCCACATAAAGGTTACAAATAAATATGTTTTAAGTTAAATGAGAAAAGAGTTTAGAAGATGTTCAAAATACTTAAATGTTTACAAAGATTTTTGTCAGTGATTATTGTCCTTGACCATCCTTCTCAACACTTTTTGTCAAAGAAATAGAAAGGAAGGAGAGAAAAGGCAGAGACACCTGTCTGTTCCTTGTTCTGGAGTCCTCAGGTCATCTTCCAAGCCTTTCATTCATACAAAATACAAAATTCTCTTCAGCTAAGACAGCTTCAACTTGGATGGAAGATGTTAGATGTACAGGGGAGTCTCTTGACCTGTTAGAAGCCTGAACATGGCAGCTGGCATAGTCTTCATGTGAATCTGTCAAGTGATTACACAGACATTAATAGAGCTGGTACTAGTTTAAAATAATCCAGAAGCCCCATCTGTCTCTCCCTGTGGCCAAGGTGCATTTTTTGTCCTGGCTTTATAGATTTTTTACTAGAGTTTCTAGTTCAAAGTTCTCAGGTTTTAGGATGCTGGTTTGCTGTCTTTGCTTTTTTTCCATGTGGTTTGGGGTTTTTGTTTGTTTTTGTTTTGGTTTTTAAATTATTTAATAATGTCAATTACAGGATGTGACATCATATAGTTTTAAAAGCTACCTAAACACTTTTTGTTGATACACCCTACTCCAATTACAGTAAAATTTACAGACCTTAAATAAGAAGTAGCACAAATCTCTCTGAAAATTCATTCTGGTGTTCTGGTATTAATGGAACTTATATTTGTATTCTTCCTTGTCTGTGGGAATGTAATTTAATATTTTCACGTAATTGCAGTATGATCCTCTGAACACAAAATTTGGACTTTGCCACCTGATGTTTAAATGCCAATCAAGAGTTTGGTGGAACAGTTTCTCCTATGACTAATGTACTTAAATTCCTTCCTCAAGGAGTCCTGGGACTCCAGTCTCCAGTGCCAGAGGGATTTCACAGAATAACAGTGCAAGGCTCAGGTAATCAGGTCTCCACCAGAACTGTACTTACAGCTCTAAGTACTTATTGGACAACACAAGAGGAAGGAAGGGAAACTTTACTAACTGAAAAGACAGACCCTCACCAGCTGCCTTGGTATCTTTGCTTCATGCTGTAAAGAAGAAAAATTTCATGCTATATTCCTATGTTAGGTGAGAAGTTACACAGTAAATGGGAACCATAAAGGCATGGAGGGGCTGTTGGAATCTACAGCTTTGCTCCTGACAAAGTGCACATACTCTGTTACTGTTTGTCAGATATCATTTTCCAGAAGAAACCAGCTGTCTTTAATTTTTGTCAGAGGAACTAGAGGGAGATCTGGCCAGGGTTCTGTATTTAGACTACCATTAAACTCATGAGGGATTTTGAAAAATTGGACAATCTTGCTTATTCATTGCTGATCTCTCTAGAAGTACTGGAGAGAGGTGTCTTAACTTATTTCCAAGGTAAGTTGGAAATTAAATTATTAAAATGTATATCAGTTTGCGTCTCTCAGACATAGTAATTAATTTCTATGGCAGATGCTGTAGTGATGAACCAAGAGACAGCTTCACAGCCAACACCCCTAAGTGATTTCTTCCTTTAATCACTTGATTTAATTCAGACAGTAGGTTGAAGGTACAGAATTATGCCAGGAAGTCTTAAAAACGAATGGAAGAATGCAGTGAATGTGCATCATTAGTTGTTTAAAAAAATTCTGTTAATTGTTTCTTATTAGTGCCAAACTCAATTTACAGATTTGGTGATTTTAATGCTGTGTTGATACTCTTTTCAACTGAAACATATATTTTTTCAACTATTTTACTTCCTTGATAAAGACTTTGTTCCCTTACCTCTCCCACTGAATTAGACAATGCTTGTACTATCTTTTCATGAGCAGTAGCCACGACGCTCTGCCCGTTGATCTCGATAATCCGATGTCCCACTCTTACCCCTCCCCTCTCTGCTATTCCGCCTCGCATCAAGCTGCAAATCTGCCAAGAGAAAGCAATGTTTAGTGAAATTCAGAAATACCATAATGCAGCACTCACTGGGACTTAATGCATAATAATGAGTGGTGACACTGTAAGGATTCCAGAAGATGCTTGTTGAAAGTATTAATCAATGAGTTTTTAAATGTTACTTTATTGGTTTGTTAGAGGGAGTTTTTTTCTGAGGTTTCTGCCTATTATAATTTTCATTTTCAGTCTCTGACTGGGAACATGAAAATGCCTTTCCCAGTGATACAGGTAGTAGCAAGGCAGAAGTGGAGACAGGGGAAAAGAGATTGATTTATCCACTGCTGGGACACAACCTCCTGTGCCCCTGCAGGAGAGGAGGGAGCTCTGCTCTCCAGGGTCACAGCTTCCCTCCACATTGCTCAGTGCTGCTGCCACAGGGAGCTCGGGATGAAGGAGGCAAGTCAGGCCATTTTCTTTAACTGGCAGCTGAGGTTCCAGGAGAAAACCAGGCACGAGTTCTGAATGCTATGACCCCTACAACAGGGTAATAATTCTACAAGAAGAACTACAGTCAGCAGACACAGTTCCAGCAGACATTGCTACATAAAGCGTTCTGAGATTACAACATGCAGAGTCCGGCCTGAAAGAGAAATCTCAACCCGGTTTGGTGCTGAGAATGTTTCCTCCTTAGCAACAGTATCTATGCTGCACGGGGATCCTCCCTGGCGGACTAGACTGCTGTGCATTAGATAGAAACCGCTGGTAAATTATTTCAAATTACTGAGTCCATGAATCACACCAGGCAGATAATGTGCTGCTCGAATCTCTGGAACTAAGCAGCATTGGGATTTACCTTTTGTTTACTGAGAAAAAACAATTCTTGGAGGAAACGAAATGAGTGCTGGAGCACAAGCTAACATGCCTGTTTCTGCAGTTCATGTGAATAGTTAGAATGATATGCCAAGAATCATTCTTTTCTGCAATCTGGTCATTTGTTCAGTGCTAAATACAAATCTGAGAAGATGTGGCTTGTGCCCCAGTGAGTTTGTTATCTAATTCAGAAGCACAGTATGTGGGGAGATGGCCAGTCTGGAACATGTTGAAGGTAAAACATTGTTTATGGTTGACTGGAATCTTTTCCTGTACGGCACTAGCAGCCTCCTTTAACTCCTCTCCACAAATAATAATGCTATTAAAAAAAAAAAAAAAAAAGAAATCCCTTCTCACTTGACGTTCAGACTGTTTTATATGAGGAGTGAGAATATAGTGTTATTCTTTGCTTATAAAAGGCCTTTCACAGCCTTCAGGGAAAAAAAAATGAAAAACCCAACACATTCCTCCTGCAGTGAGATTTATCTTCCACCATGCTCTCTCCAGTGGCTGAGTTATGTAGTCCTTAAAGTATTTCTGGTGGGCTTCAATGGAAAGAAGCACTCACTTCACAGAATTGTGTGTTGAATTTCAGTCACATACAATGAATTGTTTTGCAGGTAGTCTACCTTCTAATCACACAGCTCACTAGATAAGCTGTACTACACAGATCTCTTTTACAGAAAGCTTCTTAATGCAACTTACTGTTAGAACAAGTTTTCTCCTTGCTATTGGAGAGCAGTAATCAGAAAGGACAAAAATCAGCATGTACCAAAAGAAGCCCTGTAAATATATTTTTTGTGGTGTAAAAGAAAATAGAGAGACAGTAGAGCTGAAATAAAAGCTTTTGGAGCAAATGGAAATATGATCCCTCACCCCACTGGCATAAAGGCAAAGATAATGGCTTGCATATCTATCCAGAGCCCTTTTCACTGCATGGCTCTCAAAGCACTTTTAACACTTTTAATACCATCAGCGAGTTTTTTTCTTTCTAACAGCCCCAGACATAGAAAGTGGTCTCTTCATTCAGGAATCCCTCTCCAGGGGAGGCAGGCAGCTTCCTTTTGTGAGCATTAAGTGTTTTAATGAGGTAGAAAGAGAAGCAGACACAGAGACTGAGTGGCTCTGCCCAGGCTCCTAGACCCTGCTAATCCAGAGACAGAACACACAGAGAAAAAAATACACTGCATGTACAGCACACATTTAGTGACTCCTGTATTTGCAAAGGTTGACTCAAATCAGCCTTAAGAGTTTTGTCTCCAGCCAGTGGAGAGTTTAAATTGAGCAGTACCTCTCAGTAAATATGATTTTATTTATTCAGCCAGAACTCTTTAATATGTTGTATTTGTTGAACATGGCAACAGCTATAATATTAGATAAAGCAAAACAGATCTGCTTCTTGTAAGCAAGAGTCTATATTCTATTGACTCTGTAAACTGCAGGGGGGGAAAAAAGAAAAAAAAGTGTAAGCCACACTGATTCAATGCTCTCAGCTGTGACAGGTTTGCAATGCCTTAGACAAGGTGTAGCACATCAGATAGGAAATTTCAGTAGCTTCACAATCAGTTTTATTAAAATTGTCCATAGAGTAGCAAACCATTAAGGATAAAATAGTGCCAGACAAACTTTATTCTGTGTAAATAGGTTAATCATAACCTATTAAAACCAGATTTCTCCTCATCTCACCTTTATATTACACTGTTGAAACCCTGTAAATTTTTTTGCCAGTTTAAATGGCAGTAAACAAAAGCAGGGAAGAAAGAATAAAATGTTCTGTAAAGTTTTACTGTACTTTTAGATAGCTTGTGCTAGGCTAGGGATGGGGTAGATAAAATTCTCACAGAAAGTGAGATCTAGACTGAGAAGTGGTGTTTTATCAGGAGTGAAAATATAACTGGTAATACACAGATTTTTTTTTCACAATCAAGAAAAGGAAATGTGATATACCAGTACCAAATCTAGAAAACAATAATGTGATACATAAGGACCACTTGTATTTAAATAACATAATTTTAAAACAACTGTAGCATAATGACTCAGAAGGTCGCTGATAGGTCATCTAATGCTCACCTCCCCATCACACAACACTCATAGTTGTTATGTGTGTGTGCACATCCTTTTTTCAGCTGCAGCAGTGCAGTGTCTGCATTTGCCTGACACCCTGTGCAGGCAAAGCCAACTCAGATGGGGCTTCTGTGGCCAGAAGCTGTTGTGTGTGTTCATGGGCTATTCCCACTATAATGGCTCTGCATCCTGCACAGATGAGATAGGCAGGGTGAAAAGGAACCACTGCAAAGCTGCTGTCAGAAGAGGCACAGAAATAAGTCCCAGCTGCATGGATAATGAGGTAATGGCCTACCAGAAAGAGACATTTAATTCTATCTGTTCTGACAAGCCATTTATTACTTTGCTCTGTTAATGCCGAGCCAACAAAGAATAACAATATTACTTCTGATTCTGATCATAATTTGTAAGAATTGCTGGCAATTACAAAACTACTTTTAAAGAATACAGTGTCAAACGACCAGAGTTTGACACTGCAGTTGTATTTTCAAGTGTTGAAAGCGTTTTTCAGAGGAAAGGATTCTACAGGCCCAGAGGTTTGTCTCCATAGCAGCCTAACAAAAGATGTTACTCTCATCTTTTTGTTCACTGGCTTTCATATTCAAACAGACTTTTCATAAATGAAATGCACTGCAAGGCTTTTTTTTCCTATATGAAAAGGATTTTTTTGCTGAATTTATTGAACTTTACATTTGATGTCTTTTGAATGTTGTTCATTTAACTGGAAGGAATGATGATCTGCCAGTGTGGTGACAAATGGCCAGTAGATGGAAGGAGCACACTGTGGCAGAAAACAAGCAGAGCCTGCAGAATTTACTAAAACGAGGCTCCAGTCATTGTAGGAGATGATTAGCAGGGACAAGATAAATAGATTGTCACACAGACTCCCTGTCCATGTGAGGGCATGGGATGCTCCTAATCCACCTCGGCCTGATTCTTTTCCCCAGCCCTGATCCCACCTCCATCAAAGCTATGAATGGGCTCCTGAAAACTTTATAATCACACTACAGTGATGCTTACAGGTCCTTAAATGTGTTCCTTGTTTTGTCATAGCACCAATGGAACATAGAAGACTTACAAAGGCAAGCAATTAGGAATGAGATCAGTGCCTCAAAGAGAGCACCCTCTGTGAGATCAGGTGAAACCAGATCCTAGGGTAGGAACCACTTTAGAGTGCATCCAGCTGGGCCAGGGTGTGCAGCAGTGTCCTTTATGTGTAATCTCAGGCAGGAACGTTTTAAACTTGGGTGGAGCAGTAACTGAGAGACAGCCAGGAAAGCTGCAAACCCACTCCTGAGCCATCTGTTTGCTGAGGTGCAGGAAGGCTCATGGACCACTGCTACTGCTACTCTTCCAGCTCTCAAAGGGTGGCAAACAGAGACCAGGCAGCTTCAATCGATGCATTTCACAGAACAGGGGACAGAGCCCACAGCCTTTGTGATGTGGTTTTCTGTGTGAGCAGCCTGATTATCTTTTTTCCTAGACTGGAGGAAGAGGAAATGGTGATGGTCCTGCACTACAGCCAGTCTCTAATGCTAGTGTCAGCCCCCAAAAGGCCCAGTGACTCCCTGAGTTAGTTGTGTGGGGAGTTTGCTTTGGAAATGTGTCAGAGAATGGCTTGGGAAAGAACTGAGAGAGGAGGACCCTGAGCTGCCTGGGGTAAGTGTTCACTGCCACATTTGTTCTCTTTGCTGCTGCTGTTACAAGGAAGCTGCAGCACACAGACAAAGGCCACAACCTATATATAACCTGTAATGAGGGGTTAGCTTTTATAAGAGTTTAGTTTTAATAATAGGAGGTCACAATTATATTCATATTCCTACTACCATGTGAGCCACATAAATTATGCACAGCAGAAGAAAAATTAAAAGTCTTAGTGAGTGTATAGTGAAATTTTAAAAAGAGAAACAGAATCAGACCTAAGATTAAAGTGCTATAATTGTAAAAACCTTTTTCAGCATAACATTTCCTTGCAACTCTGGCACTGACAGTTTTACATTATCAGGCTATTGCACCAAATAATCTGGGCTATAAATCTTGTTGCTTTATTATGTAAGAAAACCCTTCAAGAATTTCTCCCAGTGTCATCCATTTGTAGTATATTACTCAGAGACTGTAAGGTTTTAATAAATGGAAGAAGTGAGGTCATGCAAGATTCTTTCAGGACTTCCATATGTTTTTTGAAAAAAAACCCCAAAAAGTAAAGGAAAAAACCCCAAAACAATCAATGAACACGGAAACTTACAATTCCATTCTGTACACTGAAGCCCAGCTGGTATTTTAAGTCTGGCCGTTTTATGAGGACAGTAGTAACAGGAGGACAGCTGACAATGTTCAGTTTGACTTGTGTCTGATTCTTGAGTCCCTGTAAGATATTCCAAAAGTAAGTATTTCTGAAATGAATCTTACTGTGCCCTTATCTGTGATTTCCTAATTGCGAGTGTTAAGCAGCTGATCTGAAAAAGACCAGTGAGAGTTAATAGAAATTGATTGTTAACTTAGAGATACATTTCTCTTATTTATTTCCTAAGATATTTGGCTCAACAAAACATTAAAATTTTGCCTTTAATTACTACAGAAATTAAAAAAAATCTTCCAATAAAAACCAAAACTGACTTGCTTTTTCCCATCATCTGGCTAATTAATCTCCTGCTTCTGCTGTTCTTGGTAAATCTGCACAGACATCAGATTCAGTCTCAATGACTAAAGAGAATGCATTCTGGGATTCCATCGTGTCTGCAGATTCTTCATTTGCTCACTTGATCTGTCCTGCAGTCTTCCAGCCTCCATCCATTTTATCTGCATGAACCCAAAAATGATTAGGAGATTTTAATCTTCATATTTTATTATGGAGGCTGTGAGGAAGCTTAAAACTTTGAAGACTGAGTAACTTAATTCAGGCAAGTTTTACAGACCTGGCCTCATTTGTCATAGGCCAGTAACAAAACTGCAGTTCTCCAGCCCTAAATTTCTGTGCATTATCACTCCTGAATCTCTAATTCTGCTTTTTATTAATGACAGATTACTGATTTTTTTGCAGTGATATGAAAAATTGTATCTGCTGGAAATCTAAAGGATCACTTGTCAGAAGATTACACCTCTGTTGACCTACGATCTACAGCATAGAGTTGTAAGTTTGGGGTACCTTTATGATGCCTTGGCATGTTGCAAGAGGTAGACCAACTAAACTGGTACCATTAATGGACATAATTTGGTCTCCAATGCTCAGTTTTCCTGAACGTGCTGCAGGGCCTCCATTCATCATGTTGGCCAGGATAACGGTGGGTAGAATGGATCCCCATCCAGATTCCACAATCACTACCCCAAGAATTTCTCCTTTCTGTTTTTCTAGCTGGAGCTGCAATTAAAAAGGAAAAACATTTTTTTTTGCTTTGATTTTTCTGACTTTGAGCATGAGTCTCTTACTTGTTCCCAAATAACATCCATAAATCTCAAACCAAATTTTGTTCTTTGACATTAGGTGGTAGCATGACTTTGAATGTTAACTTGAACACAGCTGTTTGTTTTCAGGGGCATCCTCCACCTGTTTCTTGAAGGCCATAGAGGTTTAATAAGGAAAACACTAACACATGGTTAACTCTGTGGGAAGTGGTGGAACTGGATGCCAAGGGAATGAATGCTAAAGAACTTTCTGTCCATGGAATCTGGCAGCCAGAGAGGGAGGCTCTAACATTTTGTAGCTTTGTTCAGATCAACTCCTGCCAGTGCTGCTCAGGTTGTCTCTTGATCTCAGAGCTTGTCTGTCCTTCTTTTCAGGCAAGGATCTCTTGATTATTATTATTATTATGAATATTGTTAATTATTGGATATAGTCATGTAACATAAATGATGCCTTCTCCTGAACTGGTATTAATCACAGCACAGCTAACACTTGTAAAGTGGAGCAAAAGTTTAAGTAGAGAACACGCTCTTGAGACAAATAGAGGGAAATATTTTTTCTCAAATGTGGAAGGACAGGGAATGCTGATGTCCAGCTCACTTCTGCTGAGGTTATCTATTGCAGAAAACCATAACTCTGTCAGCTCTTTCAGTACTTAGGTGAAACATAAAATCTTGAAATTGTATGAATGCCAAAAAATATTTCTGAGAACTACATTACTCTGAAAAAAATTGTTCAATCTGAAATGAAAATCCAGAACTAGTTTACCTCTTTGCAGTTTTCTGAATTGGAGAAGTGTATGAGATCATCATTGTACATCTCTTGGGTATTGATGATGTCACTGTATTCTTTCTGACTGAGATCCTCTGGGTTAATTCCATTGGCTCTTAAAAATTCTTGGTAAGCCACACTGAAAGCCTGACCAATTGACTGAGCTATGAGCTGTGCCTAAAACATAGAAAAAAAGCAGCTCAGAGAGAGGACAGATTAACAGTTTACCAATGAAACCACGAGAAACCAGGAGAGAGATTAGATTTTTAGATAGAATCAAAATGAGGATCCTGCAAAGTTTCTGCATTAGCATGGATATAAAGTCACTTTAAGGTCTGTTGTACAGAAAGAACCCATTACGTCCAAAATCAAATTGCAACCTCCATTAAAATCCCCTGCTGCTCTCCCCTCCTCAGTAGTTGCAGTAGCAAGCAGCCATATGTGCTCGTGTACCCGTTCCAGTGAACACGGGAGTCCTGGCTGCAGCCCAGCATGGAGCAGGGCTGGTGGAAGAGTGCCACGAGCCCTCCTCTGAGCACAGGCTGTCTGCAGGGGGAGGAGAGGAGGGCTGCTCTGCTTGCCCCTGCCTGCACAGACATGTGTGCACTGATCATGCTGCTGCTCCTCCACCCTGCTTTTCCAGGACTGAAAACACTGCTTCAACAGAGCCATCTGCTCCCCTACTACTGCCACGCTGGCTGTGCCACATTCCCAGCAAGCCAGCAATAGCCCTGCTTACCCACTGCACATCTGGGACAGCTATTCCCATTAACACCTTGACTAGCAATGGCAGGAATCGTTTCAGGAATGCAGCCAGAGCCACCATTAAACTTGCTAATGTTGGGAACACCCATTCAAAAGCCCCTGTCTTTCTGAAATTTTGGAGCACCTATCCACACACATGCCACTAGATGGCAAGGGAACACAGAGAAACAGAGATCAGTAAAAGGAATGTGTAGTCACTTTTTCTACATTTGAATTATGTTTTTCTCTACTCTTGAGTTTACTGCAGCTCACAGGAGAATGCCATGTTGAGTTCAGTATATGTGTGGGTCATCACTAGTCGGGTCATTGGGGCATATGAGTAACTCCTGATGATATGAGACATTAATTGCACCTTACATGCCTTAAAAATATTACTAATCAAAGCTGTATTATGGAAATGCAACATAGCTTCTTTGACAGTCGGTACATTTTAAATGCATTTCAAATGCATAAGATTTTCTGGACATTATAAATCTGCATCTTCCTACAATCTACTGATCAAGTGTTTTCTTTGATGCTAAGAGGTTGTTTCGTTATTTCATTTGTGCTGCTGTGCACAAAAGCACCAATCTGCTTGACTGGAAATGACTTTGGAAAATCAAGGATATCAGTCACAAATTGTTTCTTCATATTTTAAAGCATATTTTCAAGTCTTCGCTCTATACCAAGAGGTTTGTACAGAATCACAAAATATGCTGAGTTGGAAGGGACTCATCAGGATCATCAAGTCCAGCTCCTGGCCCTGCACAGGACATCCCCAGAATTCCACCCTGTGTGCCTGAGAGCCTTGTCCAAACACTTCTTGAGCTGGGTCAGGCTTGGTGCTATGACCACTGCCCTGGGCAGTATGGTAGTACAGAAGTCACTCAGTTGATTTTCATATCATTCCATTGTTAAAATTCATCACTCATTACCGAGTCCTTCTGATCTTCATCGCTACTGCTTTCTCTGTGGTTCATCCTCTGCTTTTGCCTTTGTGCTACATTCCCAAAGCAAACATCTCCAGGTGTCATGCTCTATTCTATTGCTGCCAGTAACAGCCTGTTCTTGCATCTTAATTTCATCTCAATCTCTGAGGTCTTATGAATGTCTATGAAAGCATTATACACAACTTAGAGATAATGTAATTAAGTTGCTTGAAAAGGTCACCCAAGCAAAGCTGTGACAGAGCTGAGCTAACTGGGTCTCAGAACAACCCCAGTCTAGCACTCTAACCTTTAGACAATGCCATTTCTCCTTCACAGGCTTAATTGTTTTAAAATAATGAAAATTGATTGCTTAGCTAAAAATATATGCAACCTCTGAGTTATGACTGTCTGACCCGAAGAACTCAATTATTTTTAATTGGTATTATATCTAAATATATACCTAGAAATTATATCTATAACCATTCCTGTAATAACAGTCATGACAAATACTTAGTACTGCCTCTTACTGTCAAGTTAGAAACAGACAACAAATTTTGCTTTTTCTGTTTAACTGGCTTGGTATATTTTTCCATAAAATTTTTCAGGTTGAAGTCCTTTCTCTGCCACTTCAGACAGAAGTACCTAATTCACTACAATCCCAAACCTGGTTATACAACAACAGTAAAGCAAGGTTATCTTCTTTTGTCACAAGAGGTATGGGATGGCACATCAGCACTTTCACAACAGTGAAACAGGATGTATAGCAGAGATGGACAGAACTCTATGGTTCTAATAGTTCTAAAAATGGTTCTAAAAAATTCTAATTCATAATATTTGCTAGGGATGAGAAAAAATAACTGAAAAATAAACAGCTGAATGTGGTCCTAAACACCAGAGGATCAAGTGCCATGTTTGAGAGTACATGCAGGTACAGGTCAGTAGCCTCAGGGAACCAGGACTGAGCTGAGGGCAGCTTGCGCTGCCCTGCCAAGGCAGTAGAAGCGACTTGGCTTCAGTTAGGAAGAGGTCCAGAATGGTTCCACCTCATGTGGAACCATATGTGTCATTTTGTGCCAACCCACTGGACCAAAGGATATAATCCAGGATATCCTGGATTATTATTGATATCCTACAGGTCAATTTCGCCCACAAATGGCCATTGACTTCAGAGCTCTCTCCATCACCTATGTTGTTGAAATAAATTGATTCCATTTACTTACATCCTCTGATTCAAAGACGTGGCAGATCATTTTGTACTGCTTCTTGCCCTCCTGGGCCCCAGGGGTGGTTTCAATGCAGTCCTGGGAGGCGGATCTGGGCATGCGGCGCCGCGCCATCAGCACCACGATGTTCCCGATGTCGGCGATGTAGGAGATGGTGCGCAGCGCGTGGTCCATCATTGTTTCCTGCACAGAGCAAGGACAAACAAAGCAATTCTCCATGCCTGCTGCTCTCCTGCAAAGTCTGCATCTGCCCTCTCCTTGGCAGCCTGCTGCCTAAGACAAA